CACCACTTCAGGTTTTCTAGCGGTTTATTGGAGATAAGAGTCTCAAGAACTTTCCTGCCCAGGCTGGCTTTGAACCGAGATCCTCAAATCTCAGCCTCCTGAGTAGCTAGGATTACAGGCATGAGCCACTGGCGCCTGGCTTCCAAGTTACCTTTGAATAGTTCTGTATCAGTTACCACCCTTATTCACTGGTAGGACATGAGAGATATATTTCCCAAATCCTTGGCAATGCTTGATATGAATCCATCTTTGTGCTTGTAGTCCAGAATCTTTATTATAATAGATGACTTAGGGTTTTCCTGCCCCTGGTACTTTAGAATCCTTGGGGTGTGTGTGTGTGTGTGTGTGTGTGTGTGTGTGTGTGTGTGTGTTCTATGAAACGTCATTTTTGGAATGCATACTGTATTGTCCATATGCGATAGTAAGTGCATATTATGCCTGCGAATGCTTGAGGTAACCACTGTCTAGGACAAGATTAAACCTAAAGTGTCATGTGCTCTGGTCTTCAGTCTCCTCTGAAGTTCTGGGAGTTCACTACAGTGGGTTCCATGCTGCTGCACCCTGACTGCCACTGTTAGATTTGGCTTCTGTAATTCCTCCAGGGGTAACTGATTTATGTCAATAGAAGACTTTCTTTAACCTAGCAGGCTCTACAAAAATGCTTGCTACTAATGTGATGAATGGGAAATACTAAGCGGTGCAATCTCTGTGTGTTCCTCTAACCTGGAGTTCTGGAGGCTTAGCCCATGGACCGTGTTAGAAGAAGCCTTCCCTCTTAAAACAGCCTTGAGGCTGGAACCCACCAAGCCATTGCTCAGAGGCTAGTGTGTGTCTGAAACATCCAGGGAGCTTGCTAAAACACAGGTTTCTGTTACAACAGTCTATGCAGGAGTGTTTCAGGTCCCAGGGCACATTGGAGACAGCATTTCCCTTTTCTGAACCAAAAGCATTAGAATTATAAGAAGCTCTGGTCATCCCCTGAAATATTAAAATCCAGTTCTATGATCAATCAGACCAGGAAGAGCTCATGCTTGAAGCCAGCCTGGACTACATACATGAGCCCTGTTTACCTTTCCTCAACTTTCCCCCTCAAAAAAGAGGGTTCTTGATGAGCCACCGTAGTTCCCAAATTGTACCCAGGCAGAAACATCAGCCTCTCTGGGGACCTTGCTTGACATGCAAATGATCACGGTCCATCTGCCTGCCAAGTCAGAAACTCTGATTTGGGTGGAGTCAAACAATCTGTTTGAATGAACTCTTCAGGGGATTCTGACTTTTAATAAGTCTGAGAACTTCTGGTGAACTAAGCAAAAAGGGTTCATGTTTTTAATATTATATATTTTTAGTAGCATGCATCAATTATACAAAGGAGATTTCATTATAACATTTCCATGTATCTGTATAACATACTCCATCCACCTCACCCCCAACCACTCTCCCTAATCTCCTCCTCCCTCCTTTCTTAAAACAGTTTCAGCAGGTTTCATTGTTCTATTTTCTCTTTCTCTCTCTCTCTTCTTTCTTCCCTTCCCTTCCTTCTTTCTTTTTTTTGTGCCAATCCTAGAGCTTGAACTCAGGGCTTGGGCACTATCCTTAGCTTTTTCACTCAAGGGTTGCTAGCGCTCTACTCCTTGAACCACAGGTACATTTCCACCTTTTTTTGTAGTTAGTTGTAAGAGTCTCATGCACTTTTTTGCCTATGCTGGCTTCAAACTACTTCCTTCAGATCTTAACCTCCTGAGTACCTAGGATTGCCAATGTGACCATATATATATATATATATATAATTTTGATAATACAAATACAAATAAAAAATGCTTGCTTTTTGTGTTTTTTGTTTGCTTTGTTAGTCATGGGGTTTGTACTCAGGGCCTGGCCATTATCCCTGAGCTCTTTTGCTCAAGGCTAATGCTCTACCACTTTGAGCCACAGCCCCATTTCCTGTTTTCTGGTGGTTAATTGGAGATAAGAGTCTCATGGATTTTCTTGCCCAGGCTGGCTTGAACCCTAATCCTCAGATCTCAGCCTCCTGAGTAGCTAGAATTACAGGCATGAGCCACTAGAGCCTGGTTCCATGCCATATTTTGATATTTACCTTCAGTCATTTTGAAAGAGAGTTCTTGATAGAGCTCTGATATTTGGATCTGATAGACTTACTAAGTATCTTGGTAAACATCCACACATGCCTGGGTAGACTGGGTATTCTTTCTGATCCCAAAGCTCTGAGGTTGTTTCCATGAGTGTGTGGTTTTAAACATACTCAGAGGGTGCTGAGTCAGGGGCCAAGCAGAGGGCTACTAGCTCTCGCCCTGAATGGTGGGATATGTGTCACTTTCTGTCCTGTGCTGGACAGTGCTCATCTGTTAACATGTATGGCACCCCATCACATACTAACCATGATGATAAGCAAACATTACTGTTGCATATCTATTATATGTCAAGCACTTTAGACATGTACTCTGAAACCCTGCAGAGGGAACCTACCTAGGTCAGTAACCTAGGTTAGTCATAACTCCCAAATCTGGACTCTCACCTCTCCAAAAGCAATCTCTGCAAAGGTCTACAAGTCTCTGGGCATTGGAGAACGCTCTGAATTTCATCTTTAGCAGCTTGTTTTGTAAAATGAGCCATAGTTATAATTTTAGAAAGCCTAACATGCTACTTTCAGTTCCTCTGAGAGAAAGAGAGATGGTTTCAATCTTTAACTTATGCAAAGTTGTGTATGAAGACCCTTATGATCACAGGCAGGTGCTTGAGTAGAGACTTGTCAGCTAAAATACAGGCCAATCAAGTGACATTTTACTTTACAGTAAATAGCAACTTACTATTTACAAATAATGAGTGTGCCTAAAATATTGCATGGGCAATACTTAGACTAAAAATTATTTGTTGTTTACTGAAATTTAAATATAACTAGTCATGTTGGGTTCTTATTTTCCAGTTAGAGCAAGTGTTCTGGGACCAGGGATGCATGTACCCCACTTTCCTTGCAACCAGTGGTGCTTGTATTAGGAGGTGCTCACACTAGTAATCTCAGTTACATGGAGGCTGGAGGAGGAGGATACTGGTCTGAAGCTGAACCAGACAAAAATGTGAGGGAGGTCTTACCTGAAAAATAACCCAAACCAAAAAAAAAAAGAAAGAAAGAAAAAAGAAAGACTGGGGACATGACTCGTGGCTATGGTGGTAGAGCACAAGCCTATCGAGGGCTAAGGACCAGAATTCACATTCCAGTGCTGCCACAGGATGAACACATCACAATATATGAGTATATTTTCAATCAAAACACTTTACACACTGGCAAAGATCAGTTTTAACATACTTAATAAAGATTAAGATCACTCCAGTTGTTTATAGTATAATCACACTGTAACTATTATCTGTAGTGTGAATCTTTACACATGTGTTCTCCAGATTTTTAAGACTTACCATGAAGAAAAAAATCCTGTGGGTCAAAGTAAATGTTTATCAAAACTTTAAAATAAATCAACTACCTCATGAATGATTTTCCATGTCAATTACATGTTAAAATAGTAATAGTTTGGTTATAGTCAATTAAATATACTCACATGTAAACTTCCAGGGCCTATGCCAGGCACTTTACCATTAAACTACAGTCTTAGCCTTTGAATGCCCAATATTTTCCTCTTCCTTCCTTCCTTCCTTCCTTCCTTCCTTCCTTCCTTCCTGCCTTCCTTCCTTCCTTCCTTCCTTCCTTCCTTCCTTCCTTCCTTCCTTCCTTCCTTCCTTCCTTCCTTCCTTCCTTCCTTCCTTCTCTTCTTTCTTTCTTTCTGTGCTCATACTGATACTTGGAACTCAGGGCCTGGGTACTGTCCCTTAGCGTTCTCACTCATGATAAGTCTTAGCACACTGTACTTTGGGCTGGTCACATTTCAAGAGATCAATGATCTTGGAAGGCCCATAGCCACCATGTTGGAAGTTGCAGTTCTAGAGGTTGTCTAGTTTGTCACATCTCTTCAGGCACCAGGACTTTGGACTTGATGATCTCAGTGCATCATCATGCCCTCAAGCAGGATAAGTCCTGTACTTTATTATAGTTCTCATGCCAAGTAGGGATGCCTCTGTTTCTCTATTCCACAAAGGCTATGTGTTTTATTTAGTGTAGGGATCTCCATGTTCTGTGCAGTGTTGGGGAGAGTAGGTCCTTAGTAACTTTATTTGGAGTAAATTATGGCCTGTGCTCTCTTTGGCCTTTTGGGACCATAGATTCCTTTCTCTTTCTCTTCTTCTCTTTGCAACAGTGTCAAGGCTAATGCGGACAAACTTATCATTCCCTCTGAGAAATCCAGCTGAACCAGAAACAAGGTGCCCTGGGAGGATTCAGAGGGAACAGAACAGACCCCAGCACAAGGTGTTTCCACTTCCCTTCTGTTCTCCCTTCTCATTGTTCTTACATTTTCTATTATTTTGACATCAACCCATTAATTAAAGTACCTAAGAAGAGCATCCATGAAAAGAAGCCATGGAATACAGGAGTGGTGATAACAATGGTAACTCACTATTGTAAGGGGCTGGTGTGTGTGTGTGTGTGTGTGTGTGTGTGTGTGACTGGAGCATCTGCAGGCTTCCTGTGTCCACTCATGTCCTGGGCTAAGGGGCTGGGACTCTAGTATTCTGAGTGGGACCCTTAGAAACCACAGCAGGTGTTACCTGATTTCCCTGTGAAATATGTGCATCTCTGTTTGTCAGTGATAGCTTCCTCTTCACTCGTTAAATATTTGAACTCAGTAGATAATTCTCTCTTTGAGGAAAGATGGACTTGAACAAACATGTTTATGCTGAACGATGGATGATACCATTTTCTCCAGTTATCGTCGATTTTTAAAATTTCTTATTTCTCTGTATAATAATTTTAAATAGCGCTCACCTGGCGCCGTCTCTGTCTCTCTTTCTCTCTCTCTCTCTCTTTCTTCCTCCCTCTCCCCGGTTGGCCACGCCCTGCTCAAAACAGACCCCCGCCAGCTCCCCCTGCAAGCGGACTCGACCTGCTAAACATGCGGCTCTGCTTTGTGAGGCTCTGGGAGCACATCACGACCCAACCCGGGGGTCCGCGCTCCGCAGGCTACGACCTGTACAGTGCCTATAATTGTACAATACCACCTGTGGAGAAAGCCCTTGTGAAGACGGACATTCAGATAGCTCTTTCTTCTGGGTACTATGGAAGAGTAGCTCCACGTTCTGGCTTGGCTGCAAAACACTTCATCGATGTAGGAGGTGGTGTCATAGATGAAGATTATAGGGGAAATGTTGGTGTTATATTGTTCAATTTTTACAAAGAGAAGTTTGAAGTGAAAAAGGGTGATCGAATTGCTCAGCTCATTTGTGAACAGATTTTTTATCCAGAAATTGAAGAAGTTCAAGTCTTGGATCATACTGAAAGGGGTTCGGGAGGTTTTGGTTCTACTGGAAAGAATTAAAATTTGGGCCAAGAATAGAAAATGAAAAGGCATACTTTTTTATTAAAAAGTAATAGATTTTGCATCAAGTGTTTTTGGTGTTTTGCACTATAGTAAACTTAATAGTTTTAACTTGTAAAAAATAGTTTATTTTCTTAATTATAGAAGGAAAGGCTACTTCTGTTGGGATTATATGGAAACTTATTTTGTGTTTCTGCAATTGGTAGTATGAAAATCTATCTGCTTTGTGAATACTTGACAAGTTTTAAAAAATCAGATGTACAATTTAATTCAATAAAGAGTATCTCTTTGGTTCTGCTTTAAAAAATAATTTTAAATATATGCATTAAACTACAGTCCCTCGGGCACCCATCATTCTTTTTTTTTTTTTTTTTTTTGCTTAAAAATTATCTTTTAGTAGTTGTACAAGAGGATTTTGGTTCAACAGGTCATTTTATGAGCACAAGGCGTCCTGATCAATGTGACTTCTTCCATCTTTTCCTCCCATCCATCATGCATTTTTAACACCAATCAATTCATGGCCAATCTTGTTTATCCATCTCTGTACCTATGCTTTCATTAAAATTTTATCTTGAGGCCATCTTAGACATTATATTGTTTCATTTACAAATATTTGAGTGTCTAGCTGAGAAAGTTTAACCTTCAAGAATAATTTTTCTTTACTACTTTTGTCTTCTTTCATGAGATCGTTTATAGGCTCAATATTATGATAAATTCTTAGGTCTTTAAGTGGATGGCTTGTTAATGACGTGAGCAACCAGAGTTTCTATTACTTCTTGATTTATGAAACCACATGTTTGGCTTTATGACGGATGTCATTTACATGGGGCGTGGCAGGCTCATTCATCTGTCTTTGCCCAGCGCTCTTCAGTCATGAATGCACTCAACAGATGGGGAATTTCATGCCCACAAATGGAATTGTTTATCCTCTCATTGTTCCCATGTCAGCAATCAAACTAAATCCATTACCCACCAATGAAAAGATCAGCCTGCTGCCAGTTCAGCTGAGGAAAAACCTGCAGCCATGCTAAAGGGATTTGGAGTTTTAGAAGGGATTTTAAAAAGTAATAAGAAGCCATATAAAAATTAAGACTCCAGAGTCCAATCTGTCATTCCGAAGTTCATGGATTTAGGGGCTGTAACTGGGAAGGACTAGTGATTCAATACTTTAACATAAAATAGACTCTAGACACTCAGGATTATAAATACTGTCTTTAGCTAATATATCACATCTAGTGCTAATGTAGCTTTTTACCGTGTGTTGATGGCTTTATTATTTCATTTAAAAATCACAAGCACTCAAATTGGATTTTTGTTGTTGTTGTTGTTGGTCATGGGGTTTGAATTCTGGGCCTGAGTGCTGTCCCTGAGTTCTTCAGCTCAAGGCGAGCACTCTACCACTTGAGCCTCAGTGCCAGTGGTTTCCTGGGGTTAATTGGAGATAAGAGTCTCATGGACATTGCTGCCTAGGCTGGCTTTGAACTGTGATCCTCAGAACTCAGCCTCCTGAGTAGCTAGGATTACAAGTGTGAACCCCTGGGGGTCCCAGCTCAAATTGGATTTTTAAAAAGGAGAAAATGTCAGGATCATAAAAGGAAAGCTGCTAAGATGTTACTACTGATAGGAAAACTTTATTTTGTGTGGACAGTTGTCTGCTCTTTATAATTAATTCTGCATCGGATCAGCTAATGGGTTCTTTGTACATTGACCTGAAAAAGCAGATTTGAAATTCTTTGCATTTCCCAGACTGTTCTTCTAATGTTCTCAGTGCACCATGGGCCAGAACTTTAAAGAATGAATTCCAACCAGATGCTATTGGTCAGGTACTCAGAAGGCTAAAATCTGAGGATTGTGGTTCAAAGCCAGCCTGGGCAGAAAAGTCCGTGAGCCTCTTATCTCCAGTTAACTACCAAAAAGTTGAAGGTGGATGTATGGCTCCAATGATATAATGCCAGCAAGCTTTGAGCAAAACAACTGAGGGACAGCACCCAGGCCCTGAGTTCAAGCGCGCACATGCGCGGTCACACACACACACACACACACACACACACACACACACACACGAGAGAGAGAGAGAGAGAGAGAGAGACAGAGACAGAGACAGAGACAGAGACAGAGACAGAGAGACAGAGAGAGGCAGAGACAGAGTCGGAGAGAGAGACAGAGAGACAGAGACAAAGAGGCAGAGAGACAGAGAAAGGAAGAGAGAAAGGGAGAAAGAGAAAGAAGGAAAGAAAAAGAAAGAAGTGTAGAGGTAGAATTTCTCTCATTTTTATTTTTTGCTAGATTTTTGTTTTGTTTTGTTTTTTTAACCAGGATACTACAAGCAAGAGATGTTGTTTCCACTACTCACTTGCTATAGCATACAGGCTTCTTATTTACTCACTCAGAAAGAGTCAATTTGGTCAATTAAAACATGAGGAAGAAAAAAGTATAGTAGTTGTTTCATTTTCTCCTTTCCTTTCCATTCTTCAAGTGCATGTTGATGACCTACTGCTGCATCTACCAGCTCTTGTGCCAGCTGACAAAGATCTGCAATCATCAAGTCAACATTTTTTACCCCTTGGTGACAGATTAGAAGAGGAGACTGACAAGAAAAATGGCTGGTGGTACACAGGGTACAAGTAAAGACACACAAAGAATGTTATGGGAGTTTAAGGGGAACTTCAAATTCGATTCCTGGATTTCCCTAGGGAGGAGGTTGTGAGGAGAGGGTAGGGCTGAGGAGTGAAGAATGGACAGGAGTTTGCAATGTGGTTTGGCAGGGGATTTCAGGCACAGGGACTATCTGACCAGAGCTATGGAGGCCAGGGACAGTTCCTGGGCATGTGGGAACCTGATGAGTCAATGTGCCTTCCATTACATCTTCAGAATAGACATGAGAATAGACAAAGAGGCAACGGCAAGGGCATGATGACCCTGTCTATATGGAAAGCCATGAGAAGACACTGAAAGCCATACAATAATTTCCATTTTCTCAAAAACCATTCTGGCTGGGCACCGAGCTGTCCCTTTTGTGCTCAAAGCTAGTGTTCTACCACTTGAATCACAGCTCCAATTCTGGCTTTTTGAGGTTAATTGGAGAGAAAAGTCTCACAGACTTTCCTGCCCAATACGGCTTTGAATAGCAATCCTCAAATCTAAGCCTCCTGAGTAGCTAGGATTAAACACATGAGTTGCCAGATACTTCATAAAATCAGACATTATCAGCAGTTCACTGAACATGCACTGTTTAGCTAATGCCTCCTCCAGTATTTGGAGTGAGAAACTATAGGCCTCTACCAATGTCCCTGAGCTTTCAGAGTGTAGCTATTGGTTCTTTTACAGTTAAATCAAAGTAAATTGGCCACATAGGGCCTCTGTACACATACATATGCCCCCCCACGTGTGTGTGCGCGCACACACACACACACACACACACACACACACACACACACTGAACCTATATTAAACATGTATAGACTCCCCCTCCCACTTTGCTATTCTTCAAACAGTACAGCATAACAACCATTCATGGGAATTAACTTTGTTTCATTTCTTGTTGCTTTGTGCCAGTATTTATTTTGAAGAGACCTAAGATTGAAGGAGGAGAGAGTCAACACTTACATTAATGGCGAGGTACTATATACACAATTTGCAACTATGAATCAATATGATTACATTACATAGTAAAAATTCATTGTGAGGGAACTTAATTCAGTTAGAATATGTAAAGGCCTCATATATAGTATTCATTCAGTTTTTGCTACATGAGTGGTTGACTAAATTTTAGAGGCAATCTTAATTGCCTCTCATCAGGGTGAATTATTAAAATCCTATTCTATAGACTCCTGTTTACCTTTAAATGATGATTTATAAAGATTATATGGCAATATGACAATTGCCTAAAATGTCATGACTTATAAGAAATGCTAAAGGTTGTACAGTCACAACAGAAAAAATGGAAAGGAAACATATCAAAAGTCAACAGCTGTGTTTGGGTAATAGGATCATAAGTAATTTCTTTCCTTTCTTTTTTGCTAATGATTATTTTAGTCAGATATTGGAAACATTTACAAACTGGAAACCAATGAAAGGCATTCCAATTAAAAAGGCAATATTTAAAGCCAGAGAGAATGAAACTGTGTTACTTTGAAGTTAACTGTCCTGCACATAGTTTTATGGGATCTCACATGGGACAAAGTCTGTTACTGCAATTTATAGAAAGGGAACACATTTATTGTGAAAAGTGATTGGGGGGGGGGTGATCAGAAAAAAGGTGGAATAATAACAAGAGACACGAGACCCGCCCACCCCCAGCTGCCAGTAATTCAACTTATGGTTTCAAGGACCAATTTCTGTCCATTCATTATGGCTGGAGTCTGGGGAATGCTTCCCCCAGGCCATTGTGATGGTGATGGCTTGGTTCCTCAACAGTTCCCAGAAGACCAGGCACTTCATGGCAGAGCGCTGGCAGCTGTCTGGTGTGGGGTTGCTGGTCATCAGAGACTTACTGCCTGTGCAATGTTGACCTGGAGGTGAAAAGTCTGCTTCTCCTACATCATCCCCAGAGGCAACAGCGTCTCATTAGGGTAGTTTCCAATCCAAACAACCATTAATCTTTTTCAGGGTTAAAGGTCAGGACAGCAATTTTTGCATATATATGTACATACACACATGTACTCACATACATCTCTGTTTTGATACTGTACTTGTCAGTATTTTATGAGAGTAGACTTATTTCACTGACCACTTGAAAATACCCCACAGCTATATCCAGAGTTATGTAAACAATGCCCAATGTCTCTTCCTGTACATGGAGAAAGGCAACTACTTTCTGTGTACTTGACAATAAATCACAGAAATATGGCTAACTTAAACAAGTTAGTGTTTTACACATGAAGTAACTTATAGATGTGTATGTATGTTAGTTGAGAATGCAGCCATATATGATATTTCTATCAAAGTATTATTATACAAACTCTCCAATATCATTCCTTTAATTTTCTGTGCCTCATTGAATGGAGCTATAGTTCTAGAAAATTTTAAAGAAAATGAATAGAAAAGTTGGATTTGAAATTGTAAGAATTGTTGTTTTTGCAACATGAAAGTATTACAGAAATAAGCCTAATAGTCTTGTTTCACACTTTTTTTAAAAGCTAGCAAGTAACAAAACATGATTTTTAGAGAACTTGTCTAACCTTGTTAGCAAGGCTCCAGTTCAAAACTCAGTATTGCAAAACAAAAACAGAAAAAAAAAACCCTCCCCCCTTCCCCGCAACCAAAACCAAAACAAGAGTGAATGCATGGTTCATACCAATAATTCTAGCTACTCAGGAGACTGAGATCTGAAGGACTAAAGTTCAAAGTCAGCTTGGACAGAAAAGTCTGTGATTCTTTACTTCCAATTAATCAGCAAAATGCTGAACTGGAAGCATGGCTCAAGTAGTAGAGTGCCAGCTGTGAACATGAGCATGAAGCCCTGAGTTCAAGCCCTTGTATTGGCACCAAAAAAGAAAACAAACAACAAACTAAGCAAAACCAAAACAAACAAAATGCCAAAACAAAAAAGTCACATATTTTCAAATTGTAAGGACCAAAATGATGAGTGTCGAGATAAAAACCATTAAAGCTTCCTAAATCTGTTTCTTAGAGTTGGACCTTCAAAGTCTTCCCTCAGAGTCCTTCTTAATATGAATACCAAAGGCTTTTGGTGAGTCATATTGGACTTTTGGCTACTCTAAGGAAAGATATCACTTAAGAGAGATAAAGAATTCACTTTTGTATCTCAAATTATTTTCTGTTAAAATTTTCAAATTCAAAATCTCACAAAGAAATGGTGATTCATAAAATCTAGTCACAGCCTCTTCAAGTTGAAAGAGGCCATGGTTGAATCAAGTAGGACTCAGATAAAACTGGAGCAAAACCCAATGCTGTCTTAATGATATCATATTGAACTCAGCATGTACAGTAGACCCTCTGGGCTATGGGTTCCACTTCTGCAATTTCTATTTGTAGAAACATGTTTATTTATAGTTGAAAAAGTAAAAAGCTGATCATAACCTATAACTTCCCTGCAACTTATTTTTTGCCAATTTTTGTATAATATATATATATATATATATATATATTGCCAACAGATTTTTATTCTTATTAACAAGGGCATAGTATACACTGATTAACATACTATGATTTATTAATGAATATTTAGGTTGTTTCGATTTTTTGTGTGTGTGGGTGCCAATCCTGAAGCTTGAACTAAGGGCCTGGGCCATTGTCCCTGGGTTTTGCTTTTAGTTTCTTGATTTTTTTTTCTCAAGGCTTGTACTCTAGCACTTGAGCTAGAGTTCCACATTTGTTTTTTTAGTGGTTAATTGGAGATAATACTCTCATGGACTTAGGTTTGAAGCTGGTCTGGTCAGGCTTCAAACTACAGTCCTCAGCTCTCAGCCTCATGAATAGGTAGGATTATGGGCATGAGCCACCAGCATCTGGCTTACTTCAAATGTTTTATTATTCAAAAAATTCTTGATATATTACTTCACATATATATATTAATATTTCTATAGGATCCATTTCTAGACATGTAGTCCTGGACATAGGCTATGTATATTTACGTATTTGGTAGATGCTAAATTCTTCCCACTTGACACAAAGTATAGGCCTGATATTGTATAGAGGTTGGCACAGGAACACTGACCCTGAAAGGTGGCCCAAGGGTCTGACACAGTGGGCATTTGTCCAGACTGCTCGATGAAAGTAGCTTGAGTGTAAGCATCAGTGAATCTCCTGCATGATAAATTTAGGTCACATTCAAATCAGCAACAGTTAGGTGTGAAGAATTAGCTAGAGCTCTAGCCAGATCTTGCTCCATGTTCAGAACTACAATGATAAATGGTAATTCTTGCAATTGTAATGATTATTAGTACAATTTCATTGAAGCTTCAAACAGAGCAGACAGATCCTCTTCTGACTGTGGACGGGGTGCAAGCTTGGTGACCCTTTCCTGCAACAGTAAACAAACGGAGTTACCCATGCTCTGCAAGTGACAGTTCATAAAAGCTACTGGGGTAATTTAACTTGATCACAAGAAAAGTTACATCTTTAAAGAACATCTTATTTCTGGAATGCTTTGCATGAGCTAACTTGAAATTCAAGATTGTATCAAGTAATATCTTTCTTCCATGAAGTTTTTAAAAGCCATTGTCCCTTGCCTTCGGCCCTGGCAACAGCCTTTTACCCCAAGGCAGAGCTTCAAATGAGCCACAGAGAAAATATCTCCAATAAAGCTCAAAGTAAGATTGCCACAGCCCCTGTGAGTTGTCCACTTCAGAAAGCCCTGTCTAGCCCCAGTCAGGGCTGCCAAGGAAAACACAAATAATCTTCCTGGTCTCGACTTCAAGACCATATATTATTATTTATTTTTGTGCCAGTCCTGGGGCTTGAACTCAGGGTTTGGGAGCTGTCCCTGAGCTTCTTTTACTCAAGGCTGGTACACTACCACTTGAGCTACAGCTCCACTTCTGTTTTTGTTTGTTTGTTTGTTTTGGTTTTGTGTTTCATTGGAGATAAGAGTCTCCTGGACTTTCCTGACTCGTCTGGCTTTGAATTGTGATCCTCATATCTCAGCCTCCTCAGTAGCTACGATTACAGGTCTGAGCCACTGGTACCTGGCAAGGCCATTTATTCTGTAGCTTGGATTTATGGTCTATTTGAAGGGAAACAAGATGTCAAGGCTGTGTGCAACAAGTGACTTTCTTTCTTTCTTTCCTTTTCTTTCTTTCTTAATGTTTAAATTCTACTTTTCCACATGAATTCAGTGATTATGAGTGAGATCAGCAAAGATGACCCGTATATCTTTCAGGCTATTTGTACTCCCTCAGTGGCTGCTTTATTATCCCTCTGGGCTAAAAGAAATGATGACTTTTTTTGTGGCCCTAAATGAAATTAAGACATGTGCCATTTGGGGAGTTTCCATTTTCCTAGGTCTCTGGTCTGCTTCCTGGTGGTAAGCACCGTTTGGGAGAACAATTGCCCATGCCTATCATAGTTAATGGTCAGCAGGCTCAAGCACTCAGATGCTCAACAATTACTTGTTCAGTTAATGAAGATGGGGGGGTGGGTTAGGGGAAGTGGCACCTCAAAGGCCACGTGTACCAGAATGCTGAATCACCCACCCTTCCTTTTTTTCCTCATCTCCCAGATGACATCCTGTAGCTCAGACAAAACCTAGAAGCTATTCTTGAGTTCTCATTCTCTTGCTTTGGAAGTTCAACTCATCAGAAAGTCTGTCTGATGTACTTGAAAATCAATCTGAGCATGTCTTAGCTGTTGAACCACAAGCAGCTCCTGTGGCACCTCGTGTCCCAGTCCTATTTGGAACACCTCCTTCTGTGGGCTGTTTCTTTTTCTGCTTCCCTATTGCCCCCTAGAGTTCATTCCCTCCACAGCAGCCTGACAGGTTTATTTTCTGGTCCTACTGTTCCTGTGCCCAGTGCCCTCAGACAACTTTCTCATGGCCTGTGATGCTGGCCCTGAGCAGGTCATGCTGGCTTCTGGCTGTCCCAGTGCTCTCTGCTCCCATTGCTTCAGTCCCATTGTTCCTTTTAAATATTATGTCTTTCCCCGTTGCCTGGCACACTTCATGGGGTAGCATGTCCATGAAGAGGACTTTGAACAGAAGACTTAACCACACTCCCTGGGGTTTCCTCCTTGTTGTCCCCACCCCCAAGATTACTGTCTCATTACTCAAGTTTTCCTTCACACCATCAAATCTTCATCTGAACCAATTGTATTTATATTTCTTATAGATCTTCATTGCCTGTCACCCCTCACTGTAAGTTCCAGGAGGGCAAAAAGGACTGTGACCATATAATGAATTGTATAGGACAGAACTCAAAAGTTTTTTTTGTTTTTGTTTTTTTTTTTCAGTCCTGGGGCTTGAACTCAAGGCCTGAGTACTGTCTCTGAGCTTCTTTTTGCTTAGGGCTATCAGTCTACCACTTGAGCCACAGTACAATTCTGGCTTTTTCTATTAGTGTGGTACTGAGGAGCTGAACCCAGGGCTTCATGCAGGCTAGGCAAGCACTCTACCACACTCCACAAATTCCAAGACCTTAAGTAAATAGAAAGATGGAAAATGAAAAGATGGATACATTAAAAATGTTCTCAAAATGTATCAAAAACCTAAACATAAGAGCAAATCCCTTAAAACTCCTAGAACTCAAGTCCAATCCTCATGACATAGAAATGGCAACTCTTGGATATGACCAAAAAGCATGGCAACAATAACAACAACCCAGATGGCCTGGGCTAGATGAAAAGTTCAGACTTTTGTGTATCAAAAAGCACTAACAAGACAATAAGAAGATAGCTCACAAAATGGAAGAAAATAGTTTCAAACTGCCTATCTGATATGGGATGAATGTCCCCAATTTAAAAAAGCCCCTCTAACATTCAACATCAACAACTCAGTTCAAAGATGGGCAAAAGGCAAGTGAAGATGTGGTTCAGGTGGTAGAGCGCCATCCTGGAGTGAAAAAGTTAAGTAAGAGCATAAGGCGCTAGTACCCCAACACACACACACACACACACACACACACACACACACACGCACACACACACACACACCACACACACACACACACACCACACACACACACACACACACCACACACACACACACACACACACACACCACACACACACCACACACACACACACACACCACACACACACACACACGCACACCACACACACACACACACACCACACACACACACACACACCACACACACACACACACACACCACACACACACACACACACACACCACACACACACACACCACACACACACACACACACCACACACACACACACCACACACACACACACACACACACACACCACACACACACACACACACCCCCCCCCACACACACACACCATACACACACACACACACACACACACACACCACACACACACACACACACAAGGACAAAAGATTTGAACAGAATCTTTTCCATATAAGATATATAAATAGCTAGTAAGCATATGATAAGATGATCAACACTATTTGTCACTGGGGAAATGCAAATCAAAACCTCAACTAGATCCCAGTTCACACAGAAGGATGGCTGCTATTTAAAAAATGGAAAATCACAAGTGTTGGTGAAGACATAGAGAAATTAGAACCTTGTGCATTCTTCATGGAATGTAAACTAGTACAGCCACTGGGGAAATCAGTTCAGCAACTCCTCAAAAACTTCAACATGGAATTACCACTCAAACTAACAATTCTACTCATAGGTCCCCCTAAGGGACTGAAGGAAGGGACTTAAAAAGATAAATGCACAACAATGTTTATAGCAGCATTATTTATAAGAGCTAAAGTGGGAAAGAATCCAGGTCTCTATCAACATATGAATGGAGAAACCAAGTGTGATGCATCCATACAATGAAATATTATTCAGACATGAACAAGAATGTGGACCTGACATATGCTACAACATGGATTAATGCTGAAGATGTTGAGGTGAGTGAAATAAGTCAGTCACACAGAAGGAGAGCTGTTGTACAATTCCACTCACATGAAGTAAGCTAGAAGAGGCAAATACAGAGGTAGACTAGAAGTTACTGGAGACTTGGAGAAGGCAAGAACAGGGAGCTTCTGTTTATTGTATGTAGAGGTGTCTGAGAAAATAAAAAGGTCTTGGAACTGGAGAGCTGTGGATGCTGTAAATAGTGAATATACTAAAAAGCACTAATAATGGCTAATAGGGTAAATTTCCTGTTATGTATATTTTACCACACTGAAAAAGGTTGAAAACAGAATCATAATCCTTTTGTACAACTCCTTAATAATAACTAAAAAAATTAAAAACAGAAGGATGGAAGATATTTGGGGGACATTGTAGATGAAGATGGGTGGGGCTGGGCACAATTTTTAGGAGATCTAAAAATCCACTGAAGAGTTTTGAAAACTCAATGCAAGGCAGGATTGCTAATGCTTCTTTTTTTTTTTTTTTTTTTTTTTTTTTGGGGTCCGGTCATGGGGCCTGAACTCTGGGCCTGGGCACTGTCCCTCAGCTCTTCAGCTCAAGGCTAGCGCTCTACCACTTGAGCCACAGCGCCACTTCCGGCTTTTTTCTTTTTGCTTATGTGGTGCTGAGGAATCAAACCCAGGGCCTCTGGCATGCAAGGCATGCGCTCTACCACTGAGCCACCTTCCCAGCCCCTGCTAATGCTTCTTATTTCAAATTAACCACCAAAATGCCAGAAGTAGAGCAGTGGCTCAAGTGGTAGAGCACTAGCCACGAGCAAAAGAAGCTCAGGGACTGGGCCCAGGGTCTGAGATCAAGCCACACACACACAAAAGCTGTAGACCAGCCCTAAATGTGTGTAGATGACAGGCTGTAGATTGCAGCTAGGCGGTAGATTTCTCACCTAGCAAATGCAAGGCTCTGAATTCAAAACCCCTTATACCTTGCCATCCCTAAAGCTGTAGTTCAGTGCTGCAGGCTACAACCACATAGTGATACTAATCTGTAAAGCAGTAGGCTACACGGGCTTATCTGATGAGGCCAAGGGTCCTTAACAAGATCCTGTTTATCTTTGATGAAACACTTGAGGATTCTCTGAAGTCCCTCAGGCCAAAACTGTTTTGAATTTCTCTTTCAGGCCTCCAACGTCCAGGGACTGGAAAAGAAGGCAAAGACATAAAGCACGTGACCTGCTACTAGACATATCAGCTGTGCAGAAGCCAAATTCTCAGCACGAAGCTATGTGAAGGAAGCAACTTGCTATTATTTATAGACATGTAAGACCAGAGAACAACTGATTAGCATGGGCACGGAAATAAATTCAGACTTCTGCTTTCAGTACATTCATAAAATAACATTGCAGCTGGCCTGTCTACCAGAGGGTGGAAGTGTTCATTTTGGGGAGACAGCTCTCCTTGGTAATGAAATGTTTTGATTTGGAATGTAAATGTTTCTTTCCAGAAACATTTCAGAAGTCCAGCTTGGAGAACTCATTTATTCTTGCCTGGTGCCCTTGCACCCTGGCTGTGGCAATTGGAAGCCTCTGTACACAGGGCTGCTGTGTGTTGCCACCAGCATTGAGCTATGGTGTTTGGTCAAGAATACAGGCCAGGTTGTTCTTTCCAGAGAAAACTGACCCCTTCCCCCGCTCTCCCACCCCCAGCTGCGGCTGAACATAAACGAACCTTTATCAAACCTGGACTGCAAGCAATAACCCTTCTGGCAATGTTCATTACAGGGAATAGCATACTCCCTCACCACCTTAAATCCTATAAATACTAATAAGTGAAGATTAGTCCGCTGTATATGTGACATTCTGAGGTTGCCCTGGTGTTCTTTTACAATGTTCACTGCTGCCAGAAAACAACACAACAACAACAAAACCCATATAATTCTTTATCTGCAGAATGGACAGATTCATTTCTTCTAAGATTTCCTCCAAAATCCTCTTAAGTCTGTGAATTCATAATATCTCAATCTTATCAGCTCCAACTGGGAATCAGTGCAATTTAATTAAAATTAACCATGTTTCTCCTAAGCATGAAAATGTGGTCATAGGTGGGGAAAGGCAGTCTTTGCCTTCTGGCTGCTTTGCAGATTCAGCTTGAGGAAAACCTGGCTTTCTACTCTACATTGGACTTCCATCCAAGCCTCTGCTTCCCATCTTTTATGAAGGTCAAAAAACTCATTTTCTTAATTCCGGTTTTGTTTCTGGGATTCCCACTATTGACAAGCATTCCAAACAATACCTAATGAACTTGTGGATGGTCTCAAGTGTTAGTTTGAATCTGGAATTGCTTTTGAAAGTGAAGATGTGAGCAGAGGAGGATCAGAACAGTCAACACTTGTCGGTGTGAGTTGATAGTTCCAAGATGCATTGCAACCAGCACTTACTGACTAAGAATACCACACATGTTCATCTGAAAATCATGGATGGCATATTTGCAAGTAGGCAAACAACTATACTCCTGCATACTTTTCTGGACTAACAAATAGAACTTTTCATATGGTCCTTTGATGAACAAATAGTCTGGCTGGGACTATGCTACATTAAAGTCTGTGGTCCCTGGACAGGCTTCATGGCAATTCTGTCTGGCTGTTCATTGATTTTTACCTACTTGGCTCTTTTGGACATAAACTCAATCTACATAAATATTATCTTATGTAAGTGGAGAGGTCATCAACATTTGAAACACTTATGAAGTGAAGGGATCTTTATGGTGAACAGGATCTTGGTACATTGGGATCTGAAGTACCAGCTCAAAATAGATCCGTAAAAAGACTAGCTCTCTTCATGAGATTCTTGGGAGAGAGACTTTTACATCTGTTATGATTCTGCCAGTCATCATAGGTTGATAGAATGACTGAATAAAGGATGGTCTTTATTAACATTTAACTAAATGAAATAAAATCTAGATACAAAATAGGCAATATTCTAAATTCTTTCAAAAGCAATTTTGTAATAGGGTTTTGGTGGTACTATGTTTTGGGGCTTCATGCTTGCTAGGTTAGCATTCTTCTTCTACTACTACTACTTGAACCACGACTATAGCTCAAAACTTTAGCCGGTTGTATTGGAGAGGCAGTCTAGTAAATGTTTCAGACTAGCTTCAAATCTTGATCCTCCAGATCTCAGACTTCTGAGTAGCTAGGATTACAGACATGAGACACTGGTGCCCATGTAGTAGTAGTCTTTATAATCAGAAGTAATATTAGTGGTCTTTCAGGAACAGCTTTGCATGGTTTTATTAGAGGACCCTTATAAGGCTGAAGTGGGCTAGGCATGGTGCCTCATGCCTAGGAGGTAGCGATCAAGAGGATAGTAGAGCTGGGTACAGGTGGCTCATGCCTATAATCTTAGGAGGCTGAGATCTGAGGATCATGGTTTAAGGCTAGTCCAGGCAGAAATGTCTGTGAGGCTCTTATCTTCAATTAATCAGCAAAATGCTAGAAGTGGAACTGTGGCTCCAGTGGTAGAGCACCAGCTTTGAGCATAAAAGCTAAGGAATAGCACTGAGGTCTTGAGTTCAAGCCAAGAACTGGCATAAGAGAGAGGTGGGAGGGAGGAAGAGAAAGAGACAGAGACAGAGACAGAGACAGAGAGAGGAATGGAGAAAGAGATTACAATTAAAGGCCAGTCAAGACACATAAGCTGGGCATGGTGGTGCACACTTGTGATCTCAGCTACTCAAGAGGAATATGTAGGAAGACTACAGTTGAAGGCTAGCACTGGACAGAACTTTGATACCCTACAGAATAATAAAGGGGGCATAGCTCAAGTGGTAGAAAACCTGCCTAGTAAACACAGGGTCCTGAATTTAAACCCTAGTACCACAAAAAGAAAGAAATGGGAAAGGGGAGCTTGCTATAACTTGAGATCAATTTGGCTGTTTTTGTCCTGAACTTTCATAACGGACCTTTTTAGTTTGCCAGTTTCATGGTGTTATAGAAGAGACATAAAAGTCAAGGAGCTTGGGCCCAGGGTGGAAGAGTCATGCTGTGTGGCTTGGGGAAGACCTGGGAATCATTGGAAGACCCCAGGTTTTCCATGCCCTCTAATATACCCCAGTGGAGCATGTCTTTCCGGAAGATCTCTGCTTGGCAGCACCACACTGCACCTCTTACCTGGGGTAGGGTTCCTTTCACTAATGCAGGGATGTCAGCCTTGGAGTAACCGATGGCCGCTAGGCCATTGTCCACATTTAAGTCAAAAAGGAATTCCCGGAGCGTGTCTGCCAACACAGGCCCAGCATCCTGGATCCTAGTAGTGCGGGTATTGCCCCCTAGAAGACACAAATGCAGACTGTGAAGAGAGGCAAGAGAGGAAGCAGGTTCTGGATGTCATATTCTTAATATGAGACCGAACACATAATGCCCACTCAATGCTATCTCCAGACTCCAGGATGAGGGCAGCCCTGGGCTTTCCTCCAGCGGAGATGGGGTGGGGGCAGGTCAAGCACATAGAAGATGCATTGGCAAGGCCAGAGGAGAAGCTAAGAGCTACTGCAGGAGAAGTCACTAGGTCACTTCCTTGCTGTTCACATTTCCAAGGAACCAAGTCCTACCTGCTCGCTCAAGTATGCTGGGAAGAAGAGGAACAGAGCCAAAGAGGTGCAGAAAGAGGGTGGGGAAGGGAATGGCGTTGAGATGAGGCATAAGGCACACTAGTAGAAGAAATACAGCTCTCATGTGACTTTCAAGGCTTGGAATTGGCTGACCTCTTGAGGTGTGCATGTCCCGTGTCTTTTCTTAGCGCATCACTTAGCATTTGCCCTGTTGCCATGTACTGGAGTGGAATGTCTACAACTCTAAAAAATGAAGTCTCACACTGCCTGAAGTCAATCTAAATGCCTGCAAGAAAGATGAGAGTGGGCAGTCTTCCTCCACAGGGAAGCACGTCAGGGGATCGGTTTTAAGCTCTCCTTCCTTCCTTCCTTCCTTCCTTCCTTCCTTCCTTCCTTCCTTCCTTCCTTCCTTCCTTCCTTCCTTCCTTCCTTCCTTCCTCCCTTCCTTCCTTCCTTCCTTCCTCCCTTCATTTCTTTTCCTGCTTTTTTTTACAAGTCCTGGGATTTGAACTCAGGTCCTGAGCATAGTCCCTGAGCTTCTTTTGCTCAAGGATAGCACTCTACCACTTGAGCCACACAGCACCGCTTCTGGCTTCTTCTGTTTATATGGAACTGAGGAATCAAACCCTGGGCTTCATGCATGCTAAGCAAGCGCTCTACCACTAAGCCACATTCCCAGCCCTTAAGCTTTCCTTTCTATGATGTTATAATGTGTTAGTAAACAGGAAATGGCATGAACAGAACCAGACACAGGTTCCATAAAGAACAACTGGATAAAAGGCAAAACTAACCTGACAAGATTGGTCTGTAATATTCACCAGCAGCTAACATGTGAATTCAGTGACGCATGATAGAGGGTTTCTGATACGTTTATGTTCCTAGGAGGCTGTGATAAAACACATTACCAAAACTTCTGGGATTTCCTATGAAGTTTTTTTTTTTTTGCGGGGGGGGGGGGGGGAGGGACAGAAGGAAAGAGACTATATTGGCTTAAAGTTAAGATAATCAATGATCACATAATCCAAATATTTAATTGCAAAGTAGGGGATAATTTTAGTTTCCTGTGCAAGAAGCAGCAGTGGGTTTTTCCAGTCTGCCTTTGTCTAACAACAGAGTAGTTGCGTTCTCAGTAGCGTGGATGATTGTCTGGAATGGGACCTTTAAGTTCTCTAAGACTTTCCTTATTTTGATGCCAACAGGTGTTACAAAGGCAGCTGTATGCCACATATAGTGGAATATAGTACTCATCCCAAAGTAAAAATACGTGGTACATTTGGCAGTGTGTTCTAGCAGCTCACTCTGAAAATCAACCCTGGGGCTGGCTCTCAATCCTGGGCTTCTGAGCACAAACAGCGAGTGTGAGGGAAGGGAAGGAGGCGGTACACAGAGGATTTCTGTGGTCATCCTTGTCCCCTTGGAAAGCATCCTTCCAACGGCTAGAGCTAGGAGAGCATAATGAAAAGTTCTTTCCCTGCCTACCCTAAACATGAGTAGGGGAATAAGCTGATTTGTAGAATTAATACAGTACTCAAGTCTACTTAAAAGAGTTCTCATTTCAGAAAATACCTATATTTTACTTTCCACTTTATCTACCCTGAACATGATTTTATTTCTGGTAAGATTCAAAAAGCATTTGGCTATCTTATTTCTAAACATATTACAGTATACAAACTGATCCCTTATTTGAGATCTTTCTTTTAATAAAGTTTATTGTTGTTTAACTTCTCTATGGTTGGAAATTTGCCATTGCTTCCTGACTTAGATGCATTTTTATTATCCATTTACTCTAGCAAAAGTCAATTGTAACATTAATAGTATATACAGAATTGTATATACTTTTTTTGGGAATGAAAAGAGGAAATAGTATTATACAAACTTAGCAGAATTAATATTTGGCTCTCTCATTTTTAACAGACTCTTAGAAAAATAAAAGACAGGGGCTGGGAAGGTGGCTCAGTGGTAGAGTGCTTGCCTTGCATGCTAGAGGCCCTGGATTCGATTCCTCAGCACCACATAAGCACAAAGAAAAAAGCCAGAAGTGGCACTGTGGCTCAAGTGGTAGAGCACTAGCTTTGAGCTGAAGAGCTGAGGGACAGTGCTCAGGCCCAGAGTTCAGGCCCCGCAACCGGATCCCTCCCCCAAAAAAAGAAAAAAAAGAAAAAGAAAAAGAAAAGACAGTATTTTAGTGTTGGCTAGGGCTTTGGGCAGCACTGACATTTTATTATTACACTACCTTAAAGCAGTATTATATTCCTCATGTTATCTTCAAAAGCAATTCAGAGGAATGGTCCCTACCCATGAAGGTAACAGATCTATCTATCTATCTATCTATCTATCTATCTATCTATCTATCTATCTATCTATCTAGTAGTACTGGGGCTGAGCGTCAGGGCCTTACACATTTGCCTGGCTTTTTTGCTCAAGGTTGGAGCTCTACCAATAGAGCCACACCCCCATTTCCAAGGATAACAGATTTATGAATAATGGTTCATACCCAATATTTCTGCCGTCTCTAAGTGCCGCTCTGGAAACATCTGGGCTGTGAATGTGAACACTGCTGGAGATGTGAGCACCACAGAGAGACCATGGGGCTGGGGAGAGATGGACAGAAAAGCTATTCTTCCTTCTTAGTACTCTACATATGTAGACTTTACCCTGCAGTTAAGAATTGACAAATATGGGCTAGGGAGTCTAGCACACTAAGCTGGGGATTCATGCATGAGGCCCTAGGTTTGATCTCTACTACAAAAAAGTCGACAAATATACTTATGGACATTGCAAGGAATATATGATTTAGTTAAATTAGTTATTATTTTTACCACCAATGGATGATCCACATTGTAATCCTTTGCTTTATACGTCTTCACTAAACCTGAAATTGGGTAAGACATTCCATGGCTAGAAGAGAAGACAAGAATTCTTACATTGAATACAGATCCCAGAATTCAAGTCAATAACACAAAGACACTCTTTAAGTCTGCCCTTCAGTTTGTGGACAGTACTGCTACTATACAAAGTTATATGTTCTTTATCTTGGATATAAGTATGTACTGTGATACACTCCAACCTCTGAACTGGTCAGATTAAATGATCATAGAAATCTATGCCATTTAATGACATGCAAACTAGACTTGCCAGTAATTTATCCCACCAATAATTGATAAATCCTTTCAACTGTTATATATGAATGACCCCTTCCCTCCCCCCCCCCCCCCCCGGTGTGTGTGTGTGTGTGTGTGTGTGTGTGTGTGTGTGTATGTGTTGCCAGAACTGGGGCTTATACGCAAAGCTTGGGCACTGTCCCTTAGCTTTTTTACTCCAGGTTGGCACTTGACTACTTTTTGGAGATAAGGGCTCATGGACTCTTTTGCTTGGTTGGCTTCAAACCAAGATCCTCAGATCTCAGTCTCCTTAGTAGCCAGGAGGACATGAATGAGCCATGGGTGCCAAGTGACAGTGGATCCTAATGCATTCTTCCAGCCTGAGAGGCTAGGCTTGTCAGTTTAAGTTTAACTGATTACTCTTGCCTGATTTTCTTACCTTAAGGATGTATTTAGATGTAGTTGCCATTGAAACAGTTATGTGTTTTTTAACTGAAAAAAATCTTTAAATATCCTTTTAGAAATTTTTTATTGCTATTATAAAGATGATGTACAGAGGGGTGCAGTTACATAAGTCAGGTGAAGAATAATTTTATATGCTCTTCAATTCTTAGTAAACAAATAGGAAAATATTACAGTGATATAGGTGACTTGGAAGATATATAACAGGTGAATATATTTGCAATTCATATAGAGAAGATGAAATTCTTCACATTAACAGAATGCTTGGTAGGTTTTTGTTTGTTTTGTTTTGTGCCACGCCTGAGCCTTAAACTAAAGGTCCGGGCACTGTACTAGCAATCTTGTGCTCAAAGTTAGTGCTCTATCACTTGAGCCACAGCTCCACATCTGGCTTTTTGGTGATTACTTGGAGATAAGAGTCCTATGGGCTTCTGGCCTGGGCTGGCTTCAAACCTCAATCTTCAGATCTCAGCCTCCTGAATAGTTAGGATTACAGGCATAAGCCACCAGTGCTTGGCTTGGCAGTTAATATTGGATGATCTGTGTTTGTCATGAGTTACATTTTATAGAGAGAAATATTTTGATGAATTATAGGAATATTTATTAAATATTTATTATTTATTAAATATTTCATTCTTCATGAAATATGTAGCTCTCTAGAAATATTGAAAACTTTGGGTTGACTGCTTTGAATAGTTGTTTGTGTTCTTTGTTGAAAATAAAAATGATCTATGCTTCTCTTTCCTTCTAGTTATTCAGATACTTAATTCACAATCATTATGCATATAGTTTTATAAATTGCTTTTGTCACTTAATATTCTTTGTAAACATTTTCCCACATAATGTGTTTTAAAATGATACTTTAATCCTCTTTTATTTTATTCCTGAAGTACTGTACATTAGTTAGTCACTTTGTTGTTGGGAATCTTTACACCCAAAAAAGTTCAATTATAAATAACACTTAAGCAAACATCCTTATAAGGAAACTAACTGATCATATTGTGGGAATTTCTTTAGGCTAGGTTCTTAGAAGTGAGTTAGTAGACCAAGCTGTATAAATATTTTTTAGGTTCTGGGTGTGCTCTACTCACTGGTAGTTTTTTTTTTTTCAAGTTAAATACAGAATTACCACATGACCCAGAAATTATACCCCTTGGAATAAAAGGAGCAAAATAAAAACATGTGTGCATAAAAACTTGTATGGGAATGCTCCTAGCAACATGATTTGTAATAGCCAACAACTCAAATGTCCATTAACTCATAAATGGATAAATAAAGTATGGTCTGTTTATCTAACAGAATGGTATTTGACAATAACAAGATGAAGTGCTTATATACAAATGAACCTTGTTAACATTAAATAAGCCAGACACATAAGACCACATCTTCTGTGATGTCATTTATATGAAATACTCAGACTATGGAAATCTATACAGATAAAAAGCAGTTCCGACCCAGATGCCGTAGAGATGTGTGTAAACCTAGCAACTTGGGAGGTGCAGGCAGGAAGATAAGGAAGGGAAGGAGAGGGGAGGGGAAGGCAGGGAAGGGGAGGGGAGGGGAGGGAAGGAAAGGGGTAGTTTTTTTAGTTCTGATGGACGTCCAGGAATTGGTGGATGACAGATAAGGTAATAAAATGTTGGAAGGTAATAAAATGTTCTAAAGTTAATGTTTGTAGACCTTAGTGTGGATACTGAAACCCATTGACTCATATAGTTTAAATATGTCAATTGCACTGTATCTGATATATCTTAAAAAGCTGTTATAAAAAATCCATGACACAATCAATTGTATTCAAGTTAAGAAAATATTAGAGACCTTTACTGTCTTCCTATTATAGCATGCTTCAATTTTACCACTTGTCCTCAATTACAAATATTTTTAAAAAATGAAAAGCAATAGTTTGGGTAAAGAAATGAAATCTCATATTGACTCACCACAGATGAACACCGGCATTTCCAAAGCCAATGCCAGCAAAAGCACTGGCCAAATGCATATTAGACCTTGCTTCAAGATCGTCAGGATTTCTGACAGCCCTGTGAATTATATAAATATCAAACAATAACACATCAACATTGGTATTTCCTACTGAATAAAGGAACTGCCTTAGGGAAAGATCTGGAAAAAGAAATGCTATTCAGTAGGAAGAAAACAGGCAAGCTATTCAAACAACACCTTGTCTTTGAAATGAAAACTGAAGGGAAACACTTTCTCATCAATGAGATTTCACCAAAGCCATAACAAGTACATTGTCAGCTGATCATGTAATACAAAAGCACCTTTGCCTGCAGGAAGCAAAGCTGGGGTCCTGCGACTGTGAGGGACAGCTGCTCAAGGGCAGTGGCCTGGGACTCATTCTTTCTCTTCCACTGTCCATGACCCTGATGGTAGCTGTGAATGGACTCTGGAAACACATTCTCAAACAAAGCTGAGCCTGTCACCAAGGGCTACCTGTAGGCCAACTCCAGCCAGCCCAGCCATCTATCTACTTGTGACATGGATCCCTCTTGGCACTTATAGAAGCTGCAGCCAGCCCAGCCATCTATCTACTTGTGACATGGATCCCTCTTGGCACTTATGGAAGCTGCACTCCTGTCCTCAGATTGTGGAAATGTGATGCTATCCTAGGATAAGGCTCATCCTGGTACTGGGACTTGAACTCAAAGTCTCTTGCTCTTGCTTTTTTTGTTCCTGCTCAGGGCTAGTGCTCTATCGCTTGGGCCACACACCCTCTTCTGGCTTTTTGCTAGTTAACTGGAAATCAGTGTCTAATGGACTTCTCTGCTTGGACTGACTTTGAACCATGATCCTCAGATTTTAGTCTCCTGAGTAGTGGTAAGCCACCAGCACCCAGTTTCAGTGTCATTTTTGAAAAGACAATTCTCAGAAGCCCCTTTGAATTCCAGCACTGCCTTTCCTGCATGCATGTCTTAAAAATTCAGCCCCAGGAAGGCAGTCTGAAGGCTGCCAAGAAAATCACTTCTACTTGGGTGTTTCACGATCTTTCCTGGAGGAAGGGTTTCTGTTATAGCATAAAAGTGCTGGCACCTTTTTTCCCCCTGCTTTTCCTTGGAACAGTTAATAGTTTGTGTCTTCTTTCTAAAACTCAGTGTTAGTTCCTTATAACAAGGCAAAGCAGCTGATGCCAGGGTTTTAGCCTTCCACTGTCCTTACCCCCTCACCTCCTACTATAGCTGTGCCAAACCTTCTGTCCTGGTTAAACAAACTGGCTCATTTGTCAACTAAATGGGCCTCTCAGGAGTCTGATATGGTTCTATGTCCCTTTCCTCTTGCTCAGCTCTTGATTCCAAGGCCCCTCTGTACAAGAGGAGCTTCTAAGTCAAGGGTAGAGGAGGCATTGTGTCACAATATTTAAAAGAAAAAATTGCATTTGAATTGAACTTGTACAGATTTTTTTGTTATTATTCCTTAAACAATACAGCACAATAACTATTTATACACACTTACATTATGTTAAGGGTTATAATGGGAAGGCGTATGTAGTTCATATGTAAGTGTCACTCCATTTTATATGAAAGGGACTTGAGTACCAGTGGATTTTCCTGTCTGAGAGACCTTGAATCAATGCCCATGAATACTGGGGGGGAGGGGGGATGGATTTATATTTTTCGTCTCCTCAGAAAGTTATTGTTATTTGTCTTCTCAAAAGTATGGCTATAAATGAGTGTATGCATCTGTATTATTAAATTTTTATTGTAATTTTTTTGTATCGATCCTGGGGCTTTAACTCAGGGCCTGGGCACTGCCCCCAAGCTTTTGTGCTCAAGGCTAGTACTCTACCACTTGAGCCTTAGCTCCACATCTGCCTTTTCGGTGTCTGATCAGGGATAAGAGTCTCACAGCCTTTCTTGCTTGGGCTGGCTTCTAATTGTGATCCTTAGGTCTCACAGCCTCCTGAGTAGTTAGGCTTACAGGGCTGAACCACCAGAGATCAGCAATTAGTTATTGTTTTAAGAAATAGGGGTCTCACTATGTTGCCCAGGCTGCCTTAAATTCCTGGATTCCTTCTATCTTCCTGCTTCAGTTCCCACCGTAGCTGAGTCTTCAGGTGTGCACCACCGTACTTGGTTATATCCTTAAATCCTTCAAAACCTTTCAGAAATTATTTTTATGGTTTCTGCCTTTTAAATCTCCTGGGTCAGAAGGTTCTATACATTTACTTTTTGAGTTTTGGTATATGTGAGTTTGTTAAATGGCTGATTTCTATGTATCTTTAGGAGGGCCTGGATGGCCAGTGTGCTTTCATTTCTGCCCTGGTAGCCAAATCTCTAAAGGCATCTCACCTCAGCCTAGCTTTGGCTTTGAGGCTTTCATGAAGAAACCTGCTTTGACTATATCTGTATCCTTCATAAATTAGGGGCCTCCACTGTCTCCTGAAAATGATTATTTTCAGACTATCCAGTTTTCCACTTGCATGACTGATCTGGTTCTCAAACTCCCTCAGGATATCTCAGGAGCAGGCACATCATATTTCATGTGTGTTCTGTCTCTGTCCCTTCAGGGTGACATACCTCTTCAGATACTTAGCAACGATCCTCAGTGCATGCACTGCCCAGATGTCACTGATTGGGTTGCTGCCCTGGTATGCTGGCCGAGTGATGGGATTGGAAGGGCAGGGGCTCCTCATGTGGTAAGGAAGGGCAGTATAGGACTCCAGTGCATGGCTAAAGAGAAATGTTTAAAATACAGAGTTAAAGCATTGTGTCCCGCCTTCCTCCCATCCAATCACAAACCAGCACTCACTGTCCTGCAGATATGCTAATCCACTCCACTCAACTCTTGTCTACAATAGTCATTGCTTAGTACGGAATTCAAGTCAAGTTTACATTCACAGCACTGCAGGGTTTTTAATGAGTATGTGTATGACCCATCTATGGGTACACAAAATTAGGAGCAAGAAGTTTCTGGTGTGATCCTATAAAGCGGGGTGACTATACAGAGTGGTGGTTACTGAACAGCTCAAAAAAAGCTAAAAGAATGGATTTTGCATGTTATTTCCTCCTAAAGAAGTGATAAATGCTTGAGAAGACCGATGTGTCTAACCTGATCACATAGTGTAAGGTGTCACGATGTCACCTAGTACCTGATCCTTTTTTTTTTTGCCAGTTCTGGGGCTTGAACTCAGGGCTTAGGCACTGTCCCTGCACTTCTTTTGCTCAAGGCTAGCACTCTACCTCTTGAGCCACAGCACCACTTGCTTTTTGTGTTTATGTGGTACTGAGGAATTGAACCTGGGGTTTCGTGCATGCCAGGCAAGCAGTCTACCACTAAGCCACATCATCCATATTTTTTTGTGATTTTATGTATTAGTGAAATGCATTTAATTAAAAAATATGACACTTGGCCCTTTTCTAGTTTAAAAGTCTTTAGGAGGCTGGATTAATGAAGATTTGAGCCAAAAAACAAAGCACTGAATCTAAAAAGTGACTTTGTTGTAGACCAATGTCACAATGGTCAAATACCATACCAGAAAAAGAGAATCCTCACTTTACAGACTCCTCTATTGAAAGCATTATGCACTGATCTGCAGAATATGGCATTAAATAAGCTGGGTGCCAGTGGCTCATACCTGTAACCCTCAGATCTAAGGGTCACGGTTCAGAGCCAGCCCAGACAGGAAAGTCCACGAGACTCTTATCTCCAATCAACTACTCAACAAAATGGGAAGTGGAGCTGTGGCTCAAGTGATAGAGCACTAGCCTTGAGCAAAAGAAGCTTAAGGACAGTTCCCAAGCCCTGAAAATAAAAAAAATTAAATTAAATTAAATAAATAATAAATAAAAAATGAAAAGATGGTACAAAACAGCACCATCAAGGTCTGGGGACACAATAGAATATAAACTGTGTTTTGCATCAATTTTACCTTTCAGTGTTGGATTTATTTTGAACAAAACATTGGAAAAGTTAAAAAAAAACACCCCAGTTTGTAGATGGATGCTATGGCATCATGGTTCTGAAGAGGGAAGGGTATGAGAAATGCAAGCATGAAGTGCATGCTCAGGGAAGATAAGGTGGTGGTCCACAAGGCCCAAATCATACCCCTACCTGGCAGCATGTCTATATTACATGTAGATTCTAAATTCAAGGGTTGATCTGTTTCTCAAGAGCAGACTCACATGCTGAGCTGAGCTCATACAAACATGGGCAAAACATGGCAGTCAGATGATCCATTTATAATAAGAAATGCAACTTGTGCAGGTATGTGAGTTTCCCAGCACCTTCTTACATAAAAGCCATATGATGGCCACTTTATGATGAAGGCCCATGAAGTCCTCCTCACAAGGGAAATTATCTCTGAAGCTCAAGGCTAGACTATGACCATCTTTAGCAAGACCACTGAGTCTCAGAGGCAGATTCTTTGGGCTATGTGTCTCACTTGGCCAGCCCTTGGGAGAGCAATATTCTAGTTTGAATTTGAAATATTCTTCTAACCTCATGGAGTAAAGGCTTGCTTCCCTAACTAATAGTCCTAACTAATATTGAGAAGTGGTAAAACCTTTAGTACTGGGGCCTAGTTAGAAGAAAGTTAGATTAAGTCAGGCACTACTAGCTACGACTAAGATCTAAGGACTGAGGTTCAAAGCCAGCCTGAGCAAAAAAGGCTGTGAGACTTTTTTTTTTTTTTGGTCGGCCATGGGGCTTGAACTCTGGGACTGGGCGCTATCCCTCAGCTCTTCAGCTCAAGGCAAGCGCTCTACCACTTGAGCTACAGCGCCACTTCCGGTTTTCTGGTGGTTTATTGGAGATAGGAGTCTCACGGTCTCTCCTGCCCAGGCTGGCTTTGAACCACGATCCTCAGATCTCAGCCTCCTGAGTAGCTAGGATTACAGGTGTGAGCCACCAGCGCCCGGCATGAGACTTTTATCTCTAATGAACCACCAAAACATCAAAAGTGAAACTATGGCTCAAATGATAGAATACTAGCCTTGAGCAAAAAAGCTAAAAGAATAACACCCAGGCCCTGAGTTTAAGTCCTAGTATTTGCATACATGGTGCATGCGCTTGTGTGTGTGTGTGTGCGTGAGCGCATGTACACACACGGAATTTAGGTAATTAGGGGTGTGTCCTTAAAAGAGAACAGTTTTCTGGGCAGCAGACCACAATTGAAAAGGTAGATGAAGGACATGGATAGAATTAGGTATAGACCAGAACTGTCACCTCCTGGTAGCATGAATGTCACTCAGCAGCAGCTAACTCAGTACCTGTGATGTGACAGTCCCTCTGGCAGGGCTAGAGAAGGGAGTAAGATGGCCTTGTCCTGATCAAACTTAGTGTAGCAGGGAGACAAGCAAGTGAAGAGAGGATGGCTACCCAATAGAGAAGAGCCCATGGGAGGGCCAGCAAGGGCTCCATCAAGGAGTTGATGCTCTTTGGAACTGGAGACAAATTATCAAAGGTAAAGAGCTGAGCACTGGAACAGACTGAACTATAAGAAGTTTACTTTCAGATATTAGACATGGAAAGCAACCCTGACCACCTGCCAAAACTTGTAAGGTAGAAAGATGTGTGTGTATGTACATGTATATGTGTGTCAAGGATTCTGTACATGTGACAGTCATATTGCAATATGGGAAACTTGTTGAGGCCATGTGGGAGGTGAGATGGAAGGCTTATAGGACAGAATAAAGGAAAACAATAAGAAAAGACTACTGCAATGGTCCAAGCATGAACTGGGGCAAAGCTGAACAAAGATAGGAACAACGAAGCTTGAAAAAATGGGTACTAGAGAGATTCAAGCAGGACAGGAGACAGAATCTGCTGACCGAGTGTGAATGCAAGAACATTTCATGCTGAGTCCTGCTATGCTCTGAGACAGTAGACCAGAGAAATTCTGGTGTGTATAGTGTGATGAATAGAATTACAACATTTCTTATCAACTTGGAGATGCCACCATTTTAAAATCATACTGTTGAATACATTTATAAGATATACCGTTTAAATAAACCATACTGCTGAAGATAAAAATAATTAATCACGAATTTTAAGGTATGTCCTGATTTCAGAGATAACAAAATGTGCACATGTGAATGGATGAATTTGGGGTGGGGTGTGCTGAATGTAAAGCCCTGTGGGAACTCTGTGAGGCCAGGGAACGAATGTTTTGGACCTCAAGAGCAAGGTCTATGGAGAAATGTGGACTTGTGGTTGTTAGTACATTGCAGCTGGAGCCAGAGAAATGCACAATGAGACTGGGCAAATCAGTAAACATCTGGAACTCAGTTTTCTCTTTCTATCAGTGAGAGTATCCTGTCTCATAGCACTACAGGGAAGTGCTAATATATATATGTAGTAATATATATATGGTGTGGGCTCCGACAAGGACAAGAATCACATGATCATCTTAACAGATGCAGAAAAAGCATTTGACAAGATTCAACACCTCTTTATGATGAAAGCTCTGGAGAAACTAGGAATCCATGGAACATTCTTCAATATAATAAAGGCTGTATACAACAAACCTAAAGCTAGCATTATACTTAGTGGTAAAAATTTAAACCATTTCCTCTAAAATCAGGAATGAGACAAGGATATCCACTCTCTCCACACCTCTTCCATATAGTATTGGAATTCCTAGCCAGAGCAATTAGGTAAGAAACAAACATAAAGGGGATTCAAATAGGGAAAGAAGAAGTAAAACGCTCTCTTTTTGCAGATGACATGATCATGTATTTAAAGAATCCTATAGACTCCACGCCCAAGTTACTTGAGCTGATCCCAAACTCTGGCAAAATATAAGCTGGGCACCAGTGGCTCACAACTCTAATCCTAGCTATTCAGGAGGCTGAGATCTGAGGATCATGGTTCAAAGCCAGTCTGGGCAGGAAAGTCCATGAGACTCTTATCTCCACTAAACCACTAGAAAACTGGAAGTGGTGCTGTGGCTCAAGTGGTAAAGCACTCTCCTTGAGCTGAAGAGTGCAGGGACAGCGCCAAAGCCCAGAGTTCAAGCCCTATGACCTACAAAAACAAACAAACAAAAATCAGGGTATAAGATTAATCCACAAAAGTCAGTCACTTTTCTGTATACCAACAAAAAGAAGATCGAGGCTGAAATCAGATAAGCAACTTGTTTTGTAATAGCCTCAAAAAATACCTAGGAATTAACTTAACCAAAGAGGTGAAAGACCTCTATGATGAAAAACTTTAAAAACCTGGAAAAGGATATTAAAGAAGATTTAAAGAAGTAGAAAAACCTCCCATCCTCCTGGATTGAGAAGATTAACATTATGAAAATGGTAATACTGCCCAAAGCTATCTACAAATTCAGTGCAATACCCACCAAATCTCCAAAATATTCTTTAATGAAATAGAAGAAGCAACCCAAAAATTTATATGGAATAATAGAAGACCCCCAAATAGAAAAAAACAATCCTTAGCAGGAAAAACATTGCTGGAGGAATATCAATACCAAACTTCAAACTCTATTATAAAGCTGTAGTTATAAAAACAGCTTTGTACTAGAACTAGAACAGGCCAGAGGACCAGTGGAATAGAATTGAAGACCCAGAAAGGAACCCACAGATGTAGGGCCACCTAATTTTTTAAAAGGGAGCCAAAATCATCAGATGGAAGAAAGCCTCTTCAACAAATGATACTGGTAGAACTGGCTATACATGTATAGAAAACTGAAGTTAGATCCTTATATATCACTCTGCACCAGAATCAACTCCAAATGGATCAAAGACCCAAGATAAGGGCAGATATCCTCAAAATATTACAAGAAGGAATAGGGGATACACTAGGGCTCCTTGGCACAGGTTGAAACTTCCTAAAGATTCAGAAATACAACAAATCAAACAAAGGCTGGATAAAGGGGACTGCATTAAACTGCAAAGTTTCTACATGGCAAAGGACCTAGCTAGCAAGATAAATAGAAAGTTCACAGATTGGAAGATCTTTACTAGCTTTACAATAGAGAAGGCCTCATATAAAAAAATATACCTAGTCAAAAAATTAACCCTCCCAATAACAAATCCTCAAAGAAACAACCACCTTATTAACAAGTAGCCTAAAGAATTAAAAAGAGACTTCTCCAAAGAAGAAACAAGAATGGCTAATAGACACATGAAAAAATATCCAACATCTCTAGCCATAAAAAATAGAAATCAAAAAACTACATTGAGATTCTACCTCACCCAATTAAGATGGCCATTATCAAGAAAACAAAAAATAACACATGCTGGCGGGAATGTGACCAAAAGGGAATACTACTAAACTGTTGGTGAGAATGTAAACTCGTTCAACCGCTCTGGAAAGTAGTATAGAGGTTCCTCAAAAGATTATATACACACAGGGCTTCCCTATGATCCAGCAATCACATTCCTGGTCATTTACCCAAATGATCACAAACATGGCCACACTAAAGCTACCAGCACAACTATGTTCATTGCAGCATTATTTACCATAGCTCAGATATGGAACCAACCCAGATGCCCCTCAGTAGATAAACGGATTGAGAAAATGTGGTAGATAACACAATGGAATTCTATGCTTCCATCAGAAACATGACATCACCTCATTCATAAGGAAATGGAAAGACTTAGGAAAAAAATCATATTAAGTGAAGTAAGCTAGAACCAAAGTAACATAGGCTCCATGGTTTCCCTCATTTGTACTCATTAGTATATGTCTAGGATAGTCCTAGCAGAGGATCACAATAGCTCAATAGCTATGTACATATAACCATATAAAATGATGCTAAACAAAATGAATTCTAAGATATGCAAACAAGAGGCTTTTTTTTTAATGTACTGTGTGAAGTTATTTTTTTTTTTCTTTTTTTTCCTTTGGTCTCTCCCCTGTTGTCACTGTTTTTTATTTTGGTACCCTGTGTCTTGTAAATACATTTAGCTGATTTGGGGATGGGAAGGGGAATCACAAAATGGTGAGACAAAGGATAAAATGTGAGCCAATGCAATAGTGACACATATAAGGCACTATATGGAAATGAGCTTCACAACTTGGGGGTGGGGGTAGTTGGAGGAAGGGAAAGTGGGAGAAAACGAGTGAGGGAAGGGGTAACACTGTTTGACAAGAAATGTACTCATTTCCTTACCTATGTAGCTATAACCCCTCTGTACATCACCTTTACAATACAATTTAAATTAAATTTAAAAAGATGCAGTCTCCAAGCACATGTCTGGACCAATGTTCTGAAGATACTCGCTCCCTTCCCTGCCTTCCTCCTTGGTGTAGCCTATGCCTTCCCTGCTCTGTGTAGTGTGGTCCTGATATGGTGCATGTCACCTTGAACTGCTGTGACCCCCAAGGCCATGGTGGAGGCAGTAGTCCATCCAACAGGGTTGAGGCTCCCCTTAGATTGCATCTAATCACCCACCTTTCCAGCTTCAGTGTGTCCTTCTAAGAAGGGAGGCCATGACAATCAATGTGGGGGATATTGCTGATCACTAATCAATGAAGGATCATTAGTGCCTATAAATAGGTATTTGCTTAGTAAAATACTGTGATAGTGCCTATAAATAGGTATTTGCTTAGTAAAATACTGTGATAGATTTGGTCCTGAAAAAGACCCTCTAGATGGCATTGGTACCTACCACAGCACATCGAAGCCACTGTTGGCAACCACCTGGCCAGGCATGTGGAGGGTATGCAGAGGGTCAATTAGTCCCAGGGTGGGTTTGATGGCTCTTGAAGCAATGCCTAATAGAGGTGAAAGTTATGGGCAGTGTTTTAAAGAGATTAAATAACTTTAAGACAATAAATTACTCTAAAGGAAAAGCACCAGACAAGGTGTATTGTTATGTAGCTAGGCAGCCAGAAGTAGAAAGAGATTTGGAGCAGAAAACTGGCTTTTCCAGTGTTATGCTGGAAGCTAGCTCCTAGTAGATCCCAAGAGAGAAGTATAGATTATTTCTTCTTACTTTCTAGAAGAGTGACACCATTGTTTAAGTAAAGAGAATCAGGGCTTATTTTTTTTATTAAATTCCAGAGAGCTGGTTTACTAGTATACAACTGAACCCATTGTACACCCTACTTCATGTCATTGGACAAGTCACTTTGATCTCTCTGACATTAGAATTAACTCCTCTCCCATATTTCACTGCATGGGATTGAACCCAGGCCCTTGCACATGCTAGGCAAGTGCTCTACCATTGTGCTACACCTTCGAGCCACATTAGACTATAATAACACACAGACCTTCTCTCTCACAGAGATGTTGTCGAGACTGAATGATATAAAGATATAAAAATCTTTTAAGAACAGTAAGGCAGAATTTAAATGTTGTCTACTATTATTATACTTAACATTATCCAGGGATCATAGTTTAATTTAAAGAAGTTACTATAAATGTCTATACAATGGCAGACTTGAGGAGATGAACATTTCTATGTAATCAACCAAGAGCCAATGAGAGGCTGAGAAGATAGGATGCAAGTGACTAAAAAGGCAGAAAGGAGAAGAGAAATGGGGATCAGGAACTAGCTAAGAGGGATCATGATACGACTTTATAGAATGTTGGGACTGTTCAGTGTCTTTCTTCCGGTATTGGTCACATAGGCATGTATATCTGCCAAAACTTATTAAACTAGACTTTTCAAACAGGTACATTTTTATTACATTAAAAAATCACAGTTCAGTATAGTTGATGCAAGATATAATGAATGTAGACATGTTGGTCTACATCTGGACTCCTAACACCTGGACAGGAGCATGGTGAGTTCAGAGCCTGGGCTACATAGCAAGACATTGTCTCAAAACAATAGGAACAGAGAGAAAAACAAAATAAAATGTTGGAGAGAAGGAATATGTCTTTATCATTGATATAGTCACTAATGTGAGTAGAGTGGCCAATTAAGAGTCATGGTATCTCAGAATTTTTTTTTTTTTCAGAAGACGTTTACTGTGTACTTGGGAAAAAGAAAGAAAAGGTATACATATATTTCTTTCCTTAACTTCACAAGTCCTTGATTTCTAAATGACAGCATTAAAAAAAAGGGCAGAGGGGCTAAGGTGTGGTGGCCACCTGTCATCCCAGCTATTCTAGAGACCTAAATAGAAGGATCATATTTGGAGATGGGCCTTGGGCAAAAACATGTAGATCCATCTAAAAAAATCCTAAAATGGAAAGGGGCTTGGGGTGTGGGTCAAGAGGTAGAGTGCCTGTTAACAAGTATATGGAACTCAGTCCAAATCCTGGTAAACAACTACATCCTCTCCTCCCCATACACATACAAAGAAAAGGGAATGACATGGAAAAGAAACAGAAGAATTAAAAGTTAATCATGAGCAAAGTTCTTACCTGTTTTTACTTTCAAGTGTTCATAGTCAAAAATGGCCACCCCAGTCGTTTCACTCCCAGTTCCTGAGGTAGTTGGGACTTGAACAAAATAATATTACTTTTAGGAAAGCATTTAAACAAACGTCACGGAGCTCTTCAGCCTTAGAAGTTAAGAAGTTAGAGAAAGAAGCTTTGCTGATCTTTCTGTTTGGCTGATCATCTGTATAACATGTATGCTTGTATTTGTATTTATTTGTATGTGTTTTCATTAGCATTTTGGATGTTCTGTGTTTGTATTAATATACGAGGTCTGTGGTTATATTAATTAGCATATGTGACATGTGTATCTACATCATCATGCATATATTTAACATGTGTGCTGATGTCTGCATCAACACACAATTATGTCTAATGTGTGCCATGTCATTATTAACACACACGTGGATTCAATGTGCAGTCTCTATATCTGTGTTAACATACATGTACAATATTCACGTCTGTGTTAACCTGTGTAGGTGGTTAGCATGCATGTGTGCTTAATGTGCGTGCTCTCTGTTCTGCACAAACCTACATGTATCAATATGAATGAAGTGCGTCTGTGTGTTGAATATGTATTCTCTGTGTTGGTGCTGATACACACACATGCTATAGTGTGCATGTGTGTGTTCACATGCCCGGGTGTTGATCACCCGTGTATCTGTGATCCCTGTGTCTGTATTAGCAGCAGTGAGCTGTAGGAGCCTCAGGCTCCCCCAGCACCCCAGCTCCTGCAGCTGTAGCTGAGCCAGGTATTCAGACGCTGGCTGTTCTCACCCTCTGGTAGGAACACTCATATTTGCTGTCCTAAAAGACATCTTTATTCCTTCTTGGCAGCCAGCACAGGAATGCTCTGGCCTGGCTGGACCCTGTGGTTTTGTAGCTCTGTCAAATTTCTAAAGTTTACTAATCACCCCTCTCTGTGATGAGGACACAGTTCCCCTAGAGGGCTCTATTCTCCAGCCCCCAATTATGCTGCTTCCTGCTGCTTCCTCATTTACGTCAAAGCAGTTCACCTGCCACCAGCTCTGGGGGACTGTTTACAATAGGGGAAGGAAAGGGGGAACGTGAGGAAAAAACTTCACTGAAGCTATTCCCCCACTATCAGTTCATGCATTTTAGCTATAAAACTTTGAAGAGTAATAGTCCCACAGTCATCAAAATGAGCACAGAAGAAAGACTGGAAGACCTCAAAGTCCCCTGTGGAACACACACACTATTTTGATATAGATTTGTGTACTACGCCTTGGACAGCCAAGGAGCAGATGTCATCCAGACTGGTGTGGCCTTGTGGGTCACATGTCCCAGGAAGGAGACAAAGCCTGAGCTCAGCTGTAGAGCCATTATGTTGGGGAAAGGGTTGAGTCATTGAAAAAAATGACAATGAGTATTCTCTTAACTCCACAGTGGCGGGCGAAAATGGGACAAAGCAGATGGGTTTAGAGGACAAGTCTGCCCACAGAGGGATGGACCAAATGTCACCTGGGGTCTCCCCTCTTTTCCACAGGGGGACAAAATAGCCTCATTCTGCACACTCCCTCTCACTGACCCAAATTGCCTCTATCTGTGCAATAATGAAGATCAGAATTTTAAAATAAAATGGCTGTCTGTTTGGGTCTCCAGATAAAGTGCACAGTCGAAGCAAACAAATCAGAAAGTTTAGAAATACAGACTTTAAAATGGAGAGCTGGCATCTTTCCTACTGTCATTTTTATTTTTTAACTAGTTGCAAAATGAAACAAAAGCAGTGTCTTACCTGCTATGAGAGGCCTCAGAGACACCGTCACAGGCTTTCCCTTCCCAATAGGGGCATTGACATAATCAAGGAACTCAGAGTGAGGGCTGGATGCATACAGATTAGCAGCTTTACAGGTGTCCATAGTAGAGCCACCACCCACAGCAACATAGGCATCAAAGGCTCCCTTTTTGGCAAACTCTATTGCATCCATGAAACTTGGAGGATGGAAAACAAAGAACCATTATGTAATATACATTATCTATCTATCCATCTGTTGGTCTGTCTATCTATCTATCTATCTATCTGTCTGTCTGTCTGGCTATCTATCTACCTATCCAATCTATCTACCACTTGAGTCATGCCTCCACTTCTGACTTTTTGGTGGATAGTTGGAGGTAAGTGTTTCAGGGACTTTCTTGCCTGAGCTGGCTTCAAACTTTGATCCTCAGATCCCACTGCTTCCTGAGTTTCCATATAGGCATGAGCCACAGCCTCCCTGCTTTATGTCATACTTTTCAGAAACAGTTGTGAAGCCATTAAATATAACCTAGGTCAAGTGTGCAATGACAATGAGCTGTGCTGGCTTACATTGCCAAGTTACCTTGTATCTGTTGGTTCTACTCGCACGGCATCATAAACCTGAAAGTTGATGCCATTCTTCACTAGGGAGTCCATAACCATTCGGACAGGAGGGAGCTGGGAGAGGTTCTTGTCTGTCATCAAACAAACATTTTTGGCCCCCATGTTCTGTAGATCCTACAATAACAAATAATTTGTAAGTTGGGTTTAACTGAAATAAAACGGTGATAATCTTAACATTACAGATACTTAAACATAAAAGGCTGCTAGTCCATTGCCAATGGCTCACACCTGTAATCCTAGCTACTCAGGAGATCTGAGGATCCTGGCTGGAAGCTAGCCCAAGTTTGCGAGACTCTTATCTCCAATTAAGCACCAAAATACCAGAAGTAGAACTGTGGCTCAAGGGTAGCGCACCAACTTTTAATGAAAAAGTTAACGGACAGCACCCAGACTCTGAGCTCAAGCCCCAGTACTGGCACTAAATGGGTTGCTCATGTATGTATTTTTACCTACTTAGGAGACTGAGATTGGGAAGATCTTGGTTTCATGCCAGCCTGAGGAAGGAGGGGGAGTTCATGAAATTACCCCCATCTCAACAGAAAAATCTGGGCATGGTTGTGTGAGCCTGTCATCCCACCTGTGGTGGGAAGCATAAACAGGAGTTCTTGCCTATTTATAATATATATAAATTTATTTACATATTGATAATATATATTAGCAGGAAGCCCCGAATTTAAACACCAGTACTACAAAAAGAAGAAAGAATGGACAAAAGAAAGAAAGAGGAAGAAAGAAAAGGCTTGATTTTGTCCATTAGTAATTTCTTTGGGGGGGTTAAATTGTTATTATAAAGGTGGGTGATGTACAGAGGGGTTATCGTTACATAAGTCAGGTAAAGAGTACATTTCTTTTTAGACAATGTCACCCCTTCCCACACTCTGTTTTCCCCTCACACCCCTACCACAAGTTTTCAACATAGTGTCCAGTGAGTAGCACTGCTGCGTGTGTTAGTAATTGCTTTATAAGGTGTGTAACATTTACAGTAGAAGATTGCAGACATCTCAAATACTTGCCATGCCCACTTCCTTTGTCACTCCTGCTCCATATCTAATATTTGAAACAGCCATCTAAAAAAGAAAGAAAAACATCAAGAATATCTAGGGTATAATAGAGTGTTGGCCGCTTCATTTCTAAAAAATACAGAAACCCAAAACCGAAATGGTTCCTCATTGTCCAAATACTATATTATACTATACACTCCCATGTCACTTAACATCTGGCCTCACACTGCTGTAAGGAACTTTGGCCTCAGTCACATTGGAATTTTGTATTTGTCTTTTCCCAAATAGGGTATAAATTCTTAATTGTTCCTCTCACTTCAAAAGCCTGCTTTCCTCTACCTCCACATCTAAATTTACTCTCAATTTTCTTATTTTCATTTATATATATTTTTTGCCCCTTCCTCCACCCAAACACCCTTGCACGCATGTAAGATAGCATAAAAGACTAAGAGAAAGATGGCATTTATAGGTGAGCGAAGAGATCTCATGCTGACAGATGGAAGATGGATTTTATTTGATCTATGTTAAGTTAAATTGTTTTCAAATATGCCAATAACTCTTTAAAAACGAAGATTTAAAATATCTAATATGATTGCTATTTTTCAGTCTCTCTAGAACAATCCAGCAGCACTGGGACTATATTCCTCAGTGGCTGAGAGGAGGCCATAACCTTCAATGACATTTTGATTTATGGCTCCTGGACTTATGAGGGGGCAGGGATTTAAGCAAATAATTATAACTAATTATGTAATTGCAGTGTGATAAAAATATACCAGAATTAATTGTTCGTGCTTCAACAGATTAATTTGATCCCTTTTGGGATTTCTTATAACAGAAAGATTCAGCATATATCATATATAATTTGGAGAGTGTATACTACTGGAAGTTTGCCCTATATTAATTAATTACCCTATAATAATATTTAATCTAGTTATTTATAATCAGTCAAAATAAATAAAAGCCTACAGAATAAGTTTCTCTCTCAATTTTTTCTTATTAATGTTAAAAAATAGACCTGTTCTAGGCAATAATCTAACATTGGTTTCTTGAGGACAAAGGTAGTTTTATTAAGATCGAAATTTCTCTTATCTCTCTGGGCTTTAAAAAGTTACTACTACTAAAATTAGATCAAACCATAATAACACTGTGGGAATTTTCTCCTGAAGTTACTAACTGTATTCCCTCCAAATATAAAGAAGATGGAAGATATTATGTTAGATATTACTCATGTTCTCAGAAAATTTATATTCCATTTTCTTTACAAATAGGACCTAATCAAATAGAGATCATGGAACATTGGCTAATAACAGATTTCAAATGAAATATACACCAATTAGCATTATACTATATTTGATTTTTTTAAGATCACTCATAAAAGAAAGAGTGGATTGGTGAAATTACCTCAAAGGCATAGTCTGTTGTTTTCCCAGAAGGTGAAAGTCCAGGAACTAGAAATAGAGAAATGAGCATTAGCATAGGCCTTAAAATAAACATAAATATTGGTTATGAATAGTAAAAACCAGTAATAAACATAAATGCTTTGCCTTGCCTTGTCTTGCCTTCCTTCTTGCTTGGCAGCCCTGGGGTTTGAAGGCAAGGGCCTGAGCTTGCTAGGCAAGGGTCAACCATCTGAGTGATGCCTCAGCCCTTTTTGCTTTATTTTTCAGATAAGGTCTTACTTTTTTTTTTTCCTGGCTAGCCTGGGACCACTCTCCTTCTACCTTTGTCTTCCCAAGTATCTGGAATTGCAAGTGTTCACCACACCACTCTTAGTCTTATAAATTCCTTAAAGCTGCCTAAAAAATATTTTTTCAGGGGATTGGGAAGGTGGCTCAGTGGTAGAGTGCTTACCTTGCATGCATGAGGCCCTGGGTTTGATTCCTCAGCACCACATAAGCAAAAAAGAAAAAGCCAGAAGAGGCACTTTGGCTCAAGTGATTAGAGCTCTAGCCTTGAGCTGAAGAGCTGAGGGACAGCGTACAGGCCCCATGACCCGATACCGCCCCCCTCCCCCCCAAAATTTTCAGGCTTCATGATCGCACATCAAATTGAAGCCAACATTTGCATTTAAAGATAAAATATAAAAATGATTTGATGTTGATTTTGTGAAAATAAGGAGATTAAAAATATTTCCTCCATTGAAATTAAGAAATACTTTTGAAAATGTAGTGTAAAAGTCCTATAGATTCACATTATTGTTTGAGAACAACTATTAGTAATTAAATAAAGTCCCGCTTTGATCATTTAACTTTTTCATATAAATGACTTAGCATAGTAAGATAATTATATTTTATGTTGGGTGCTGGTGGCTCACACTTGTAATCCTGGCTACTCAGGAAGCCGAGAATCATGATTCAAAGCCATCTTGGGCAGAAAAATCTGTGAGACTATTTTTTCCAATGAACTGCCAAAATCCAGAGGTCAAGGTTTGGCTCAAGCAGTAGAGCACCAGGTAGAGCACTAGCCTTGAGCAGGGAAAAGATAAGCAACACTACAAAGCCTTGCCCTCCACACACCTCCTCCCATTCGCCACCTCACCTCCTCCCTCCTGCCCCCCGCCAAAAAAAAAGCACAAAAGATAGTTACATTTCACACGCTTATAAACCAAATCTAGTTTTCTTTGTGAAATTTCAACCTGAATTTTTGTTTGTGTGTTTATGTGTGATGCTAGGATATGAATCAGGGCCTCATGTTTGCAGGGCAGGAGCTTTAATACTAAGCCATGTGTCCAACCCTTTTCTTGATGAAATGTAATAAAAAATACCTTAAAATAAACTGTTTCTCTGTAAAGTACCAGGTTTTAGTTACAGTGAAAACAATTTTCTGTGTAGTTGGAACAAGGAAGGCCTACTAGTGAATTTTATCTTTGTTAATTGTATTCCCTCCAAATATAAAATTACTGCTTCTTTTGTCTCAGGCACAGTGGTTAGTGACCAGCGAGGCCCCATGGCAGCCTTGTTTCTTTGTTCTCTTGGTTACCCTCTCTCCTCTTCTCCATAGGTTTCCCTGAGGTCCTCTGCTTAGGATCCTCTATTGTTAGGCCCCCCCCCCCTCCTTCCTGTCCCTCTCCTCTATTTAGATCTAATCTTTTCTTCCAAGAAGGAAAATAATTTTCTTTCTTTTCTTCCAAGACTGGCCCACGAGTATTATACTTGCTGATTACAGAAACAAAAATTGTGGTGATATAAAAAACCAAATGTATTACCTTGGGAGTAAGTATGAGAATGAGTTGGACACTGGCATCTAGGGAAAAGAAAACAGGACAACACAATGTGAAACTGGAACACAAAAAATGAGAAGCCTTGCAATATTGTGCAACAAATTAGTATCAGTCAAGATGGGAGGGGGGTGTTGTTTCATTATCATAGCCTCGATAAATTAAAAGTAATAAATTCATTTGGAACTAAATGCGTGCACACACACACATGAAGCTTTAAAGTAACTCTCACATTGTGTTCTAGCCCTAAGAGACTATGAACTGGTAGCTTTTGGCAAATACCATGCACTGAAAAGAACCCAGAAATCACAGTGGATAAAAAGTTGACTTGGCCAGGCACCGGTGGCTCACACCTGTAATTCTAGCTACTTAGGAGGCTGACACGGTTCAAAGCCAGCCTGGGCAGGAAAGTCCGTGAGACTCTAATCTTCTCCAATAGACCATCAGAAAAACTGGAACTGGTGCTGTGGCTCAACTGGTAGAGCACTCGCCTTGAGCCAAAGAGCTGAGGGACAGCGCCCAGGTCCAGAGTTCAAGCCCCACAACCGAAAAAAAAAAAAAACCCAAAACAAGTTGACTTGGAAGCCCAGTGCCAATGGCTCATGACTATAATCCTAGATTCTTAAGAGACTGAGATCTGAGGATCCCAATTTAAAGCCAGCCCAGGCACAAAAACCCATGAGACTGTTATCTCCAATTAACCAGCAAAAAGCTGGAAGTAGAGGCATGGCTCAAGTGATAGAGCACAAGCCTTGAGTGAAAAAGCTAAGGGACAGCAACATCCATGCCTTGAATTCAAACCTCAGCATTGGAGAGAGAAGAAAGAAAGAAAGAAAGAAAGAAGGAAGGAAGGAAGGAAGAAAGAAAGAAAGAGAGAGGGGTAGGGAAGGAGGGAGGGAGGGAAAGGGGGGGAGGGAAGGAGGGAGGGAGGGAGACGGAGGGAGTTGACTTAGGGTCTTTCCAAAGCTTTAAGATCATTTTCCCCTCCACAAACACGTTTATTTGAGTAGTGTGGAGTAAAGGCCTGCGGGGGGTGGGGGGGGGGGTTGGGGGGGGGCTGAGATAAGCACTCTGGGAATGCATTTAGATTCCCCATTTCTTGAGGCCCCAGCTCTTAAAGGTTAGGGACTTCAATCACATTGACCTGTGATTAACTGTCATCTTCCACCATTCTGGGGACTTTCTATGTACTTTCCCTGCCTCTTGAAGGTGTTTAGTTTCTCTTTAACCAGGCCTCTCTGGACCCACAGGTCTCTCTGGCCGCAGCCCCAGGCTAAATACACTCCCTTTGTTCTGAGATGTCACCAGATCACTGCCCCAGGGGTAAAAGTCACAATCTGCTTCCCAAAAACCTGCACCCGTTCTCACTTCTCAGTTGTCTTCCTCACAGACTGTCCATGTCTTCCTTTCTGGAAACATCCATCCTTCTCTGTCCCTGGCTGTCTTAATTATTGAATAGTCCAGTCCCTCCTTTCCTGGCTTTTCCTTCTCTGCTCAACGTTTCTTTTTATGGCACAGAGGAACCTTGTGTGGTTTCAGTAGCTACTCAAGTGAGTACATAACTTCATTTTCCTCTCACCCCGCCAAAATTCAAATTTGTAATTAAATTATCTAAGGGAGGAAGAAAAAGCGGATTTCAATAGTCCTCTAGATCTTCAAACTTCCTGAGACTTGTGAAGTCAAGACAATCATGAGTCAAGGCTGCCACCTAGTGGCTGGACCCACAAGAGACAAAGGCTTGTTCCCTCTCAGGTGAGCTAGCCATACTTTCCTAACAAAATATCAAAACTTGAACTTTCTGATAGCACATGTCTTCCTCCTACCCTTTTGCCTGCATCTCTCTCAAGCTCTGGGACTACTTGAGGATCCTGTCTTGTCCCCTCTTGCCTTTTGAGGACCACCATGGGTATTGTATTTCCTAGCTCTCTCCTCACTCCATCCTTCTCTATGAGACTTACAGTGTCATGTTTGAAATGCTCAGGCTTGTTCACCCTGATCCCCCTCCCTCCTGTCCTGTATTTGCTGGCTCCATTTCCTTACCACCAGTACATTCCTTAGCCCCCGAATCAGGCCACTGTGCCTCAAGCCCAGCTGTCTTGTGGGACCCTCACTTCTTAGACATTCCAGCACCTGGCTCTCAGAGTGTAGCAATGAACACTGAATCACCCTCCCTTAGATTTTAGCCACCTTTTTCTTGAGTGGGTAAAACAGGGTAAGACTCTCTGCTTATCTTAGTTGCCTCTCATTATTCATTGTTCTGCTCTTTTCACTTTCTCTCTTCCCTTCCTTTTGAACTCCCTTCCTATCTTCCTCCCTCTCTTGCTCATTCCTTCCTTTCCTTCTTTTTCTCTTTCTCTCCTTTCTTTTTTCTTTCTCTTTTTTCCTCCCTCCCTCTCTCACTTCCTTCCTTCCTTTTCTAGTACAGGGGGCTTGAACTCAGGATCTTGGCAATCTCAGAAGCTTCGTGCTGTCCTTTAGCTTTTTTGCTCAAAGTTAGTGCACCAGCACTTAAGATGTATCTCCACTTCTGGCTTTTTAGTGGTGAATTGGAGGTAAGAATCTTATGGATTTTGTCTGCACTAGCTGGCTCTTTGAACTTTGATCCTCAGACCTCAGCCTTCTGAGAAGCTAGGGTTACAGGTGTGAGCCTCTGGGGCCTTGCCTTCATTGTTCTTTCTCTGCCTCCTTCTCCACTCTGCCCATTCCTTCACTATTAGATGCTGTCCTCAGCTGCCCCTGCCCTGCTGACCCTTCCTTTGTCCTTACTCTATACCATGCGCCAAGGCTGCAGATACTTCTTTTGAACTCACTTTTCTTTGGGTCCTTGCTCCTCTGGCTCTGCTGCCTCCTCATCTAGATTTCTACTCACTTCCTAAGCGGCTTCTCCTGGCGGCACCATTGTCACCTTCATTCTGGTGTGATCAGGGCATATTTTGAATGTCTCTTCTTTGCCTGTATTTGCTTCCATGGCAAATAAAGTTCAGACTGAGCCCGGTCAACAGGTCCTGCTATTCTCATCTTGCTTCATCTCTGGGTTTTAGCTTTGGGGGGAAAAATTCTTTTCCTCCAGTAATCCTTTTTCTTCCCTCCTGGTTGCAGAAACTTGTTTTTATTTCCTTGTTTGGAATGTACTTCCCTTCCCTTTCCTACTAGGTAACTTTTCTTCTTTCATTTCTCTATGATCCACAACTTTACCCTCCCCGCCCCCTACCATCCAAACTGCCGTCAAGTCTTGCCACAGGCCTCGGCTCTCTCCATCCTGTTCCCAGTGTGGACTGACATAATTCTACTCATACTACACTCCCTTCCTGTACAACAATTCAAAAAATATTTGTCTTAACTTCTTGTGGATTCTCCCTTTCTGGTCTATCTGCGGTGATCTGCAGGAATCTGTAGCAGGCTGATTTTATATCTCTTCCCTCATCTGATCAGCTAGACTGGCTCCTAAGCCTTTCATTGATGTATACTGAGAAACAAAAGTAGTTTCCAGCATAACTATCTGCCCAATAAATGTGTCACTTGGATACATATGTCCAGGCTGTTGTGCCCAGTTCTGTACTGTCACCGTATGCCACCAGGCCTTTTCTTTTCCAATGGTCAGTTTCCTTCATGGGAGATTGAGAAGAGTAAAACTTGTCCCATTACGAGGCATATGATAAGGCTATGTCCCTAGCAAACACTGCAGTACCTGCTTTCTTATCGAAGGCTGCGCAGCCCAGGTGGAGTGTAAGCCAGGCATCTGCATCTTGGGTCCCCACCCGCCCACTGCCCGCACTCACGCTGTGCTCTGCAGAAGCCTCAGCAAGTGTGTCACCCGAGCCCGAGCGGCGGCCATGGCTGCACCGACAGAGAACTCCTGGCCTTCGGCAAGCCACACCCCCGCTGCTGTCCAATCCTGGCCACTGCCCTCCTCCCACCCCTTGCCTAAGGCCTGCCTACCCGCTTGGCAAGGTCATTTGGCCCAACTTGGGCAGAAGTGGCTCAGGACTTGAGAACTGGACCACAGCTGCGCCAGCTGCTGAGTCTCACCTCTGATACAGGAAAGGCTCCAGAGGCTCAAGTGTCACTTTATCTCACTGTTTTAATTTTTTAAAAGTTGGGGACTTGGGGGGCTGGGAAGGTGGCTCAGTGGCAGAGCTCTTGCCTTGCATGCATGAGGCCTGGGTTCCATTGCTTAACACCACACAAGAAGAAAAAAGCTGTAATTGGCACTGTGGCTCCTGTGGTAGAGCACTACTAGCCTTGAGCTGAAGAGCTGAGGGACAGGGCCCAGGCCCAGAGTTCAGAAGCCACGACCGACAACACACACACACAAAGTTGGGGAAAGGTAGAGGGTCGGAGGAGTTCTTTTTCCACTCAATGCTTTCCCTTCTGAAAACATTCTGAGCAAAACTGGCAAGTCATTGCATTAATATGGATACTTTTCTAAGGCAATCAAGAACCTTGTAAAAAGTCTGAAAAAAAATCTAATCTAAGGGTGTAACTCACTAAAACAAAGACTAAAAACAAAACATTAAAAGTTAAAAATTAAGGGCTGGGAAGGTGGCTCAGTGGTAGAGTGTTTGCCTTGCATGCATGAGGCCCTGGGTTCGATTCCTCAGCACCACATAAGCAAAAAGAAAAAAGCTGGAAGTGGCGCTGTGGCTCAAGTGGTAGAGTGATAGCCTTGAGCTGAAGAGCTGAGGACAGTGCCCAGGCCCAGAGTTCAGGCCCCACGACCGAACCCCCCCACCCCCCAAAAGAAAGTACAAGTTAAGGAGACAAGTGAAAAGGTGATGTCTCAGCTAATAAAGACTTTGTGGATCTCTTTTCCCCCAGACTCTCCTTGAAAAACTTGAGGTTACAAACACAGCCAATCACCATTATCTGTAGTGTAGTTCCAAGTTATTATTTACAGGAATGTGTTCAATGTTGGAAAGCATGAAGTCTTTTCTTACGCCAGTTGCACTGTTTTTAGTATGTTTATTAAATAAAAAAGAACGGTTTAGTTTTTTTTAAGTAAAAGTGACCTTGATGAAACCATTATACATTTAACTGCTTTGGTTTTAGAAAATATACAAAAATACCCTATACTGGGAATCTGGACCACAGGCTTCAAGTACCAATTCTACCAACGGTAGAAAAGTTATAAGCAACACGAGTACAGGCACTCTTTCATTAAAAGTTTACTGTTAAAAATAACTGTGAAATCTTTCAAATAGGACCAAGTCTCACCCCGTACAGAACGTTACAATGAAGAAAGGTAAAGATAGCTGTTAAAGAATTCCCAGTTCCCAGCAATTTGCACCCCCATTCATATGTGCTCAAATACATCCAGCCAAAGTCAACCAAAGTGTTAATGGTGGATGAACAGTACATTCTCTGGAGGGGAGGGTCACCCTCCTCCAACTCCCCTAGTACAGTACTTAAGTATGTAAGCGGTCCTCTCCTGGCTTTCCAGACCAGTCAGGGGGGAGAGGATCACTTCCTCCCCTTCCCTCCTTGCTGCTGCCCTCCTTTCCTCTTGCCACCCACGCCAGGTTGCCTGGAATGCATCTTGCCGCCCAAGCCTCCTTTCCTCTTGGGGGGGCCGCTACCGCCGCCCTTCCTCTTGCCCCCGGGCCCCTGCCGGCCCCCTTTCCTTTTGCCCTTCTGGCTCATTTTCCTCCTCTTGGCGGCCTCCTCCTGGTCCTCCTCCCTCATCTGCTTATTGGTGGCCCTGGTCACGTCCAACTGGGGCTTCTTGCTATTCATAACTCGAAGTAGCTCCAACTGGCTCTTTTTCTCGGCTGCAAAGTCTCCGAAAAGGGGTTGAAACTTCCTCTTCTTGCCGGCGCCCCGGGGTGCCTTCTCCTTGGGCAGGCGCTCCTGGAAGCGCCCCAGGGAGGCGGTGGACACCTTGGCCACGTGCATGGCGCGGCCCAGCTCCTCCTTACTCTGGTGGCCGGTGGGGCGCAGGCCGGCGGCGCTGGGCAGCTGCTGCTTGTGCGCGCGGGCCAGGTTGCGCAGGCGGTTCAGCTCGTTCTTGGCCACGCGTTCCTTCTTGGCTTCCATCCGCTTGGCGAACTGGTCCTCCAGGGGGTCGGCGCCGCCGGGCACCTCGATGAGCCACTCTTTGGTGTCGTCCCGGGCGCGCTGGTAGCCCCAGCGGCGGCGCCACTGGCCGCTCGCGTCGTCCCACACCAGGTTGGTCTTCTTCCGGGGGCGGATGCCCTTGAGGCGCGCGAACTGCTGCCAGCGCGTGAGCGGCCGCGGCCGCGGCAGCGGCTTCTCCCGGGGCAGGCGGGTGGTGGGCTCGGGCAGCTGCGCCACCAGCGCCTCGTCCACGCGCGCGCTGGGCAGCTGCCACAGCCGGTTGATGAGCAGCTGCGCGTTGTCCCGCGCCAGGGCCCGCAGCTCGGCCTCCGGCGCGGGCCCGGCCGACCGCAGCGCCGTCGGGGGGTTCCGGTCCACCGCCAGCAGGTTCCCCAAGTCGAACTCCAGCTCCAGCTCCTTGTGCACCGTGATGCGCCGCAGCGTCTCCGCCTCGGCCTGCGCCGCCTCGGCCAGCAGCGCTTCCACGCCGTGACCCTCCATGGCGGCCCCGCACCAACCCCTCACTCGCTCGGGACCGCGGCTCAAGTTGGGCGGCACAGCACCACCTCGTGCGGACGCTCAACCCGGAAGAGGAGACGAAGGTTCACTTCCGGGGCACCGGGACCGCCTCCCCAGCCGGATGGCGGAGGGAAGTGGCCGGCAGAGGGCGGCATTGGAGAGCGCATGGGTTTCGCAGCGGAACCTTCGGGCCGGAGCGCGGTGGTGGGCGGACCCGGTGTGACGGGCGAGCTCCGGGCCGGGTGTGGAAGAGGTGAGTGCGGGGGGCACGGCCGCACCGCCCTCCGCGTGCTCGGCGCGCACCGGGAGCTAGTGAGTTGCCGACCAGCTTGGGGTCGCGCCCTGTCCCGGCAGGAACCAGCCAGCCGCCGCGCAGGCGCAGTGACACGGTCTGGACGCCGGTCCTGAGCTGTGCCACGGGTTAACCCTCGGCCATTTCATTCGTTTAGGCGTTTACAAGACCCTGTGAGGAATAGCACTCGCCTCTCGGGGCTCTGGTAAAGAGGGTGCTCCCCCCGTACTGGCTCACGTTCTCGATCCCAGCTACCAGGAAGGTAGTAGGTTGGAGGTTTAGAATCTAAGACCCACGCGGAGGAAACACGAGTCTTACCTAAAAATAAGAAGGCAAAAGGCCTGGGCATGTGGCTCAAGTGCCTTCCTAGCAAGGGTGAGGACTGAGTGCAAACCTCATTACCAGAGAACAAAACACAAAACAAAAACAGTCCCCCCCTTCAAAAACAAAAACACTCCCAAAGGTTAATATACTTTTTTTTTTTCCTAGTCCTAGGGCTTGAACTCAGGGCCTGGACACTGTCCCCTCAGCCTCTTTGTGCTCAAGGCTAATGCTCTACCACTTGAGCCACAGCTTCACTTCTGGCTTTTTGGTGGTTAATTGGAGATAAGTCTCTCTGGCCCAGGCTGTTTTCAAACCGTGATCCTCTATGTCAGCCTCCGGAGTAGCAAGGATTATAGGTGTGAGTCACCAGTGCCCAGCTACTCTTATTGTTTTTAGCTGTGTTAATTTCCATTGATGAAAAAGGAAGGGTTAGGAAATGAATTGATTTTATGTGAGGCTCTACAACTAGGGTATGTGGAAGCAGTAGATCTTAAATTCTGGAATTAAGAATATATACATATTCTCATACCAGGTGCTAGTGGCTCACACCTGTGAGCTATTCAGGAGGCTGAGATCTGAGGATAGATATTCAAATCTAGCTTAGGCAGAAAATTCCAAGAGATTTCATCTCCAATGAACCAGTAAAAAATTTGGATCAGAGGTATGGGTCAAGTATTTGAAGGCCAGCAAACAAGCCTGATACCCTTAGTTCAAACCCAAAGTGTTGGGAATTACCTATTTCTTTATTCATTTATTCCTTTCCCTGAGCCTTTGCTTTAGTATTCAGCATCAAGTCTTTAATATCAGTAATTCTATGAGGCCAAGTCTAGGACAAGGTTCAAAGTTTTAAGCCTTTAGCTTAAAACTTTTGGGATTTGCTGAAATCCCAACTGAGTGATTGACTCATTCATTCAGTAAACATTTGATTGAATGACTTTTTTTTATAAGCCAGACATTCTAAATAGAGGTAATTGAGACTTTGTACAACACTGGGAAAGTAAGATAGCTAGGTAAAGAGAAATAGTGATCTTTCTTTCTTTCTTTCTTTCTTTCTTTCTTTCTTTCTTTCTTTCTTTCTTTCTTTCTTTCTTTCTTTCTTTCTTCTCTCTTTCTTTCTCTCTTTTCTTTCTTTCTTTCTTCCTTTCTTCATGTCAGGGCCTTGCATTTGCTTAGAAGTCCTCTGTACTGCTCTTCATTCTCACCCCATGGAACTGAACCTCTAATAGGAAGAACAATGATGTAGGATTTAGTTCTTCTGTTAATCTTCTGAAGTAGAGAGGAAAAAGAGTAATTTTTTCTTCTTTCTTTTTTTTTGAGTCCAGTCGTGGGGCCTGAACTCTGGGACTGGGCACTATCCCTCAGCTCTTCAGCTCAAGGCTAGCACTCTACCACTTGAGCCACAGCGCCACTTCTGGCTTTTTTCTTTTTGCTTATGTGGTGCTGAGGAATTGAACCCAGGGCCTCATGCATGCAAGGCAAGCACTCTACCACTGAGCCACCTTCCCAGCCCCTTTTTCTTCTTTCTTACTGGATGAATTGGTCCTGATTATACAGGTACTTTTTTTTTTTTCCCCTGGTACTAGGGATTGCTCTTAGGAGTTTTTCTTTTTTTTTTTTTTCCTTTTCCTTTTCTATTTTTATCAGTTGTGGGGCATGAACTCAGGGCCTGAGCACTGTCCTGGAGCCTCTTTGTGCTCAGGGCTAGTGCTCTACCACTTGAGCCATGCACCACTTCTGGTTTTTGAGTGGTTGATACGAGATAAAAGTCTCAGAGGACTTTTTCTAGCTTGGAACAGCAATCATTAGATCTCAGCCTCCTGATTAGCTAGGATGGTGTGAAACACCAGCGTCTGAAGAACTTGTTTTGTGGAGTGCTTTATCACTTGAACCACACCCCTGATCCTTTTATATTTAGTTTGTTCTTCAGATAGAATCTCTTGGTAACTTTGTAGGGCTGGCCTGGGCCTTAGTCCTTCTGTCTGTACTTCTGGAGTAGTTGAGGTTACTGGGGTGCACCACTAAGCTTTGCCTATTTTGCTGACTTTTGACCAAGCTGGCCTCAAATTCAGATCTTCTTGTCTCCACTTCAGGGGTTTACTACCATATCCTATCCTAAGGTCAGTTCTTAATTCAACTATGGTTGTTTTATGGTCAGTGTTTTTTTTTTTTTTTTTTAATTTTATTTTATTTGAGAACATACTGTACAGAGGGGTTACAATTACATGGGCAGATGGTCAGTGTTTTTTTTTTAAAATAAAAAATGCATTTTAATTTACTTGAAGACTGATTTTTATTTCCTCATAGTGCTGGACACATAACACCATTGAATATATGAATAAACTACTAAATTAAAATGGTATTGGTGTTGGCCATGTTGGATTCAAACTGAACAAAGGCTGATATTTGGGACTTAAAAGAATTTTATTGAGGTGAGTGGGTAAGTCATGGTCTCTAGCTTATATTATATAATCCTTGTTTTAGACAAGTCTATATACAGTGTTAAGACAAAAGAATCTTAGCTGGGCTCTGCTAGCTCACATCTATAATCTTAGCTGCTCAAGGGTTGGAGATCTGTAGGTGAAGATTTGAAGCCAGTCCTGGCACAAAAATCCTCTGGACTCTGTTACCAATTAACCAGAAAAATGCCGGACTGGAGGTGTGGCTTAAGAGATAGAGCATCAGCCGTGAGTGAAAAAGCCATGTTAGAGCATGAAGCACTGTCCTTTTTTTTTTTATTTTGCCAGTCCTGAGGCTTGAATTCAGGGCCTGGACACTGTTCCTGAGCTTCTTTTGTTCAAGACTAGTACTCTACTACTTGAGCCACAGTGCTACTTCTGGCTTTTTCTGTTTATGTGGTACTGAGGAATTGAACCCAGGGCTTCATGCATGCTAGGCAAGCACTCTACCACTAAGCCACCTTCCCAGCTCAAAGCCTTGTTCTTTATCAGAGTTAATTTTACTTGACAGTGTTTTCTTTCCAGATGGTGATTGAGAAGCTAATTAAAAAATGGTACCAGCTCATCCATATGAAAGAGCACAAGGCCCTGAGTCCCTGAATTCAAGGCCCCAGTACTGGTGTACACCACATATGTACAAAAAGTTAAGGAAAGCCTACTAGGTACTTTAGTTCTGTAAATTCAGAGAGACTCTTAAGTGTGCTCATTAGACCTCATTTCTTTCTCACTGTACCTGCTCCCTGTGGCCTGTGATACACTGGCATGGTGTTTATTCAGCTACTATGCTGCATATGATTTTTAGAGGCACATCTTTATTCCTTTACCGAGCTCTAGTCTGAAATCTCCAACTACTTGCTGGGCTTTTTCTTCAAACTCTAACCATGTCTAACACTACATAACACATAATCTTTCCTCAAGTTTGCATTTTCTTCTATCACCAACCCACCATTTTTTCCTCCCGCAAATGTTGATAGATTCCCTTTGATGCCTGAGGAATTGTGCCATTGAAAATGCAATGATTTGTGAAAACAGTCTCAGTTGATGTTAGAAGTCTTTCTTGATTCTTTTCTTCTTATCTCCAGAAGTCATATTAGGTTTGTCTTTGTATTGTTTTCTTTCTATATCCGTTGCAGTGACCTTACCAATACTGGTTCTTCAGACCCTCTTTCTGTCACTAATTTTTGGTGAGGGTCTGAGGAGTTCCCATTTTCAAACAGGGACTTTCCACTCAGGTTTTACCTTATGCAGGTCCTTGACTTTGAATTCAGAAAAAAACTTCCAGACAAATTATAACGTTACCTTTGTGAAAGTTACTGAGAAAGCAAGCCGAGAAGCAAAAGCACACTCTCTTATATCTATGTAGTACTGGGGCTTAACTCAGGGCTTAACTCAGGGCCTTGTGCTTGGTAGGTAGGTGTTGTACAATGTGAACTATACTTCCAGGCCCTAAGGATACTCTTAGAATGTGGGTACCCAAGTGAGATATGCTGAACTGGCTTGATATTGGGTATTTATGGTGAAAAGGTAGGTTTTTTTTTTTTTTTTTTGGGTCCGGTCGTTGGGCCTGAACTCTGGCCTGGGCACTGTCCCTCAGCTCTTCAGCTCAAGGCTAGCGCTCTACCACTTGAGCCACAGGGCCACTTCCGGCTTTTTTCTTTTTGCTTATGTGATACTGGGGAATCGAACCCAGGGCCTCAGGCATGCAAGGCAAGCGCTCTACCACTGAGCCACCTTCCCAGCCCAAAGGTAGGGTTTTAAAGGTGAAAAGGATGCTCCTTTCAAGATAGATGTCTTTCTGGAAAATACTTTTTTTTTTAATCTTTTGAAAACACAATTGTGATCAAAAGAGTCATTTTAACAAGCATTTTATTCCAAGGTTTGGTGTCTTTTTTTTTTTTTTTTTAGGTTTTTCTACTTTATTCATTTATTTGAGAGCACTAGTTTGTGAACT